ATGTATATACGCTAAAATATATATTTATATATCAAATAAATGAAAGATCAATTTTATAATGCGTTACTAAGTTTACAAAATAACGAGTGTCAACGACTTCCTAAATTATATAAAACGCATATTCTGATTTTTCTTTTTTTTTTGTCGTAAATTTAAAAGATTAAATTCTTTTTGCATAATTTATTCAAAAAAAAATACTTACCACATTTTTTGTTAAACGTCTGTCTTAAATTTTTTTTGTTCATAATAAATCAAATATTAAAAAAATTAACTTTTTTTTGTGTTTTTTTTTTATTTATATTTTTTAACTTTTATTCAAACAAGATTTTCAAGTTCAAGAACAGTTCTTATAGTTTATAAGATTGTAAATTTAAACATGCCATAGGTGAAATTAATGCTTTCTCTTAGTTAATTTTCTTTTCGAAAGTAAAAAATTAAAATCAAATAATATATATATATGTTTATATATAATATATATAAAAGTAATATATGCATACGTATACACGGTATATGTAAAGGAGAGTAAAAACTAATAAAGGCGAAAGGTGTTTGGGTTATTTGAAAATTATTGGAAAATAAAATGAAAAATTAATATTCTCAAACGAAAATATTATTATAGAATATTTTGATTAAATAAATTTGATTTATTTAATTACATTATTAATAAATGTTATATGTATTCAAAAAGTACTTGAAAAATTTAATAATATTTAAAGTACTATTTAATAGTACTTGAAATATTTTAATAACTTTCGATTTAATAATTGGACGTTTATTTTATATCAGTGATTCTCAAATAGACCACATTTGAATTTAATAACTAAATTAATTAAATTTAAGAAGAAAATATGAATTTAATTAAATAATTTTTTTATTTATTGCTTGGTACTGCGTTAAAAATTTAACTCTATCGAAAAGTGTAGTGATGGAGTCTATCAAAAATTTAAAAACACGACAACGTGGCTACGAGAAAAAAAAAAGGTTGAGAGCCTCTATTTTATATGAGTTTAAAAATTTCAAAAAGTACATATGTAGATATTTTAATTAATTATTAATTTTAGAAAAGATTTTAAAAAAAATAATGTAGCAAATATTTCCGGTAGAAATTAACTTATAAAAACATTAAATGTTTGGATACTAAAAAAATAGGTATACCTAGAAGTCAAAATACATATATGAAAAGTTAATAAATGCCGAGAATTTTTCACCAATGCCGGTCATTCTTCTTGTAATGAGTAAAAAATGAAACGGAAAATAAGTTAAAAAAGAGTAAATTTTATTTGAAATCCATTTTTCCTTAAGTTTACATAAACGCTTTGAGCTTTATATTGTAATTTTATTTATGTAAAACCATAGGTATTAAATCTATCAATATCTTACTAAAGACGTTAAAAATTTTTAAAATCTTTGATTATATATAGCAATAGCTTAAAGCTGATTGAAACAAGAAAATAAATTATTAAAATTATACATTTTTACTTCTACTTGGCATCCACTTTGTTCTATATTTTGCATATTTGCTTGATTTAATTAAGTCAAGCTTGATTAAAGAATTTATAAATGTACGCCAAATATTTGAGGGATGTCTCGGTCTTCTTAACAACTGCATATTTTCTTAGAGTGTGTTCTTACCCATTCATACCCATCCTCTCCTTCGGATCTGCTTGTTGTCCGTACGTTTCTCGCCTGTTATTACCTACCAATTTATTGGTGATTAATATTATATAAGTATTCTTACTTTTTGTCTTGTTCATTTTATTTTAAATCTAGATATATGTACATATATTTGATGTCAAACACTCATAACTATTATATTTTCAAAAGAATTTTTTGTTACTTAGGAAGATTAAATCTAGGAAAAAAATAGAAACTTAGGAAAAGTAAATCCGTTCTTTTCAACGTTTATGAAATTTAAAAAATGTTTTCTTGTTTTGCTACAGTAAATTGACAAAAAATACCACTTTTTCGACTTTGAGGCTTAGAATGTTTCGCCGGCATTTCAGGTATGAAAATATTTTCTTACTAAAAAGTAGCGATTAAATTTAAGCTGAACTTTTTTTGGTATGTCAAACTTTTTTTGTTAAGTTTCCCAAAAATGAATGGTAGCCAAAAAAAATCACTGCGAAACGCAAAATATTTTTAACTATTTTATAAAATTAAACCTAATTGCGCTATATTTGTATTAACAGAAAATGATTACGTTACTATTAATTACATTACTTATTAATTAAACAACTAATACAACGTGTAGTAATTCAGTAATTATATAATATTAATAAATTTAAATTTCATATAATTCTTAAAAAATTAATATTTTAAAGGAGATTTTTTTAATAAAAAATTGAATTTTAAGCATGTTGCAATGCAATTTTTTCTTGTATGAATGAATATTTTTTTTATTTATTTTTTCCTTCTATAATTATACATTCTTATAATTATAGGCACAACATAAATTTTCAAGGGTTTTATTATATTAAGAAAAGCGCTCATGTTAAATTTTTTTCGAAATGTTACCAAAAATTTAAATTACAGATTAATATGTAATATATTTTAGTATGTCATATTGTAATTAACATAAATGAAATAGAATTAAATGTATATAAGTCTATGTATTTGTATATTAATTGAATATCTACTTGCAGGGTATCGGTACACATCTTATATATTATGTAAGAAATTGTTCTTTTGTTTTATTATCGGCATTATATACATATATTTTTTTCTTATATATGTTATAAATATTGTATAATATATTTTATTCCAGCAATCTTCCCCTTTTATTTCTATCATATTATATTATATACGTTATAGTCTTCATATATTTATTTAAAACGTAAATATATATGTACACATATACATATTTTTTATTTGTCAAATCTTTTTCTTTTGATTCGTTAACAATTTTAATTCTTTTTTCTTTATATTATGTACATATTATACTTTCTGTTTAACACGAACTTAAATAAGCAATAACAAATTTGTTTCTTTGCAGTTGCTATTACGGTAACCTAGGATAAGGTACATAAGGAATAAAGCAATTTATTAAAAATCATAGTTTTAATTTTTAAAATTCATTTCTTTTAATTCAATTTTATATTTTGTGTATACATTTAAACATATACGATTTTAACCATATCCGTTTTAATAATTTTAACATAAAATTTGAATAATTTACAAAGTCTATACATATACCTACAAATTATAGTACTATATATTTAAAAATATTCATAATATACGGACATACATATATATGTACATAAGTGAGATAAATTTAACTATAAAATGAAAAAATTAAGGAATTGATTATCATCGCAATTATATTAAAATTAAAATAAAGAACTTTTAGAAGCACAAAACTTTTGTAATAAACTCGTAAGAAAAATTCATTAATAAATATTGTTTTATTAATACGGAGGCAATAAATATCGTTATAATGATGATGATTCTATTGGATCAAATAACTACTATAATATTTTCAAATTTATTGAACATCTCATATTTATTCATCACAATTTCCATTATTATTTGGATATTTTTTGTACCAGTTAATTGGACTAGAGTAAGTAAATTTTTTGAATAGTTTAAATAAAATTACTTTATATTAAATTTTTTATAATTTTTTTGATAAATTTTATCAACAAAATATATTATGCAATAAGAATTAGTTTAGTTGAATGTTTTCTTTTTGATTTGAATTTTGGGACAAATAAATTAACGTCATAGAATTTACAATTACAATAATTACTATTCAATAAGTATTGAATATAAACCAGCTTAGAAAGAAATTTTTGAGCTTGATTTTTAAATAAATGTATACATATATGCTATTCTTTCTTGTTTTTGTAAAGAAAATTAGTCCAAAACTGTAATATAAAGTTTTAAGGATTCGTGAGGATAATTTATGCTTTCATATACGTGCCCCTATAAATCTTCATAAAATATTTTTCCCAATTGAGTTCAATAATTGCGTTACTATTTCCAAAAGAAGCAAAAAATCGAGTCTATTTAAGTCCTTATGTTAGCAGTCTTACAATTTTAGAAATGTTTAAATCACATCTAAAAAAAAACACTCTCCAAATTATGCAATATTAAATTTATAGTTGTTTTACATTAACAACTTTAAAATTGTTTAATTATCACTAATCTCCATCAACCATTTTCATTGCAAGACCATTTATTAACAGTCTAATCATGTATTTCACTTTTTCATCTCACCTCTTGTTCACACTCAATTGGGAATTCTCCTTTTTTTCTGCTATATATTTCGTTTTTCCAAAATACCGCTACTCAATTTTTCAATTAAACTTTTGCATTATTTCTCAGATTATCGACTGCACCTGATATTAATTAAATTTTGTATATATATTTGCAAAAAAACGAAATACACAATACAGAAAAATTGTTCTCATTCACCTTATTTTCACTTAGCGAGTAAAATAGTGAGATTCGCAATTATGCCCTAAGAAAACAATCATTTTCAATTATTCGTAAAAGTAACAAAGAGTTGACATACAATCACTGCACTCTACGTTAATCTCACTTTAATATATGGGCTGACATATCAAGATTTTCAATTTTCCAATCTAAGTAACCACATGTTAATAAAATGTTTTAAGTGAGTCTTCAAAGAAATTAAATGGTCTCGTTTCAAAGAAACAAAAATATAAGTGCATAATAACTATTATTATGCATACGATTGAATTTTAATTTTTCAGGTTCCTGCTACTGAATATTCAATTAAAATTTTATGATAAATTTTTCATACGAAAACAATAATTGAAATAAAACTTTGAGAACCGTTAAAATACCTGTAAAAAAGCGATGTGACAGTTTGATAAAAAACAAAATTAATATTAGGTAAACAATGATCACAAATTTTATATTTAAATTTATTTTTCATTGGATATTATGAATAAACTTGTTTTTTTATTAAATATTAATATTTAATTTCCCATTTTCATATATTCAAATAATTTGTTCTTTTTTTTTTTGTTTTTTAGGATTATTTCGAAATTTCATATAACTTCGCCGTAAAGAACATCAAAAATAAAAATAATGTAAAAAAACGTGATATAATAAACAGAATTCGGCGTTTACGCAAAATTTCAATGGATAAATCAATTCCACCACCATTTCCCAATGGGTGGTATGCAATTGAAGAATCAAAAAACGTTGCAGTTGGTCAAGCAATTAGTGTATCCTGTTTAGGTATTTATGCACTTAATACATACATTTACAGCTATTAGAAATGCATAAATGAATAAATAAATCAGTTTTATTTTTGTAATTTAAATAATGTAATAGAAATTTTATTATTCCAAAAAAATCCAAATATAATGCAGGTGAACAGTTTGTTGTTTTTCGTTCAACAACAAATATGCAAATTTTTGTCTTAGATGCATATTGTCCTCATATGGGTGCAAATTTAGGTATTGGTGGAGTTGTTATTGGAGAAAAAATTCAATGTCCCTTTCATCACTGGAGTTTTAATGGTACTAATGGCGAATGTTCAAATATTCCTTACAGCTCTTGTAGTAAGTGTTAATTGAAATAATTTTTCTATAATATATAAAAATATATATTTTTAAAATTTTAATTTTATTCAAGAGCCCAAATCTATAAAAATTAAAAAATGGGTTGCGAAAGAATGCAACGACTACATATTTGTATGGTATAGTAAAGAAGATTGTGAGAATTTACAATGGGATCTACCTATAATTGACGAAATCGAATCCAAACGTTTTGTTTATCATGGAAGAAATGAATTTTTGGTTAATTGTCATGTATTTCATTGTAGTTCAACATTGTATAATAGCATATTAAATTTTATTTTATAACTCCTAGATTCAAGATATACCCGAAAATGGAGCAGATTTAGCACATTTTTCTGCAATTCATGGGGATAGTTTGATAGCTGGAAACCAGCCCCAATTCAAATGGAGTGCATGCTTAGGTCATCATAATTGGAATGCAATGTAAAGGAAATTACTTGAAATTAGTATTGAGCAACAAACTAAAAATAAATACACAGTTGAGAATTTATTTAAAAATAAATTAATTTTTTTTATAAATTTAGTTGGTTACCGGAAACAGAAACAAAACATCTTTCCAAAATATTTTTACAGCATTCAATGAGACTTTTTGGCAAAATAGACATTTGCTCAATGGATGTATCTGGAAATCAGGTTCGTTTTTTTATTATAAATATCATACATTTTTACTTAATATCTATATATATATATATTTGTATATGTAGGTTTATTATCTAATAGACATACATATGTACAAATTTTTTGTAGAAGAAAAGCTATAAGAATTTAATTCTCAAATAGATGAGATCAATGACCATCAATAATGAATTAAAATACAATCAATATTTAAAGAAACTATTTCGATAAATTATGGTATTTCTCAGCACGTAAAATGCAAAATTTCCAAAGTATTTTCTTAATAATTTCATAACATTATTCTAACAATGTGAGCCTAAAATCAACTAGGAAATATCAATTATATTTACCATAACTTTAACTACGATTTAAAAGAAAACTTCTAAATGGTCTGGTCTATAAAAAAAAAATACCTAAATACATAGGAGTGAATAATCTAGCTGTAATAAGTTTGCACTATAATAAAACTAATTGCTTTCAGATTGGGCCAGCATTTGTTGTACTGCATATCAATACTGCCTTTGGATCAATCATTATAACACAAGTTGTGACACCGATAGAACCTCTAACACAAAAAGTTGTTCACAGATTTTATGGATCAAGATTATCGGCACCATTTATGAAATTTTTAATATTTGCTGAAAGTGTAATGGTACATTTACCTTTTATAATATAATTCTTTTACCACTTTTAACATTTTATAAACTTACACCTTTTTCATGAGTTATTGGAAAGTAAAAATTTTGTATGATTTTTATTCTGGTAGCTTAATAAAATTTTTGTGTTCTGATTAACAAAATCGAATTCCGAATTCGATTCTTAAAAAATTGATAAGTTTATTTAGCAAAATATTTATAATTGAGTTAGAAAATCCAATATAGAATATCAAAAACTTAAATTTGTCTTCTTTCAATTTTTGAAAATCAAATTTATTTCAAAAAATATAAGCAACATACATATGTACTTTTGCATTTATTACACATTTGGATAAGCATAAAGAATCTATTATTGGTGTTCACAAGATGCTTTAACTGTAATTCGCTTACCAGAATAAAAAAATCAAGAATGAGGTGTTCATTTCAGCTAACGTCTCCACATCAGTAAAATCTTGTGTAGAGGAAAACATTTATGCAACAAATTTATTTTTAGTTTGAAAGAGACATGAATATTTGGAATCATAAGACGTTTGTCAATTCCCCGTGTTTAGTTAAAGAAGACCGATTAATTAAATCATATAGGAATTGGTTTGGACAGTTTTACTCCTCCAATAGTAAGACTTTTAAAGAGGCTTATGAAAGTTCAGAATGGTGAAAAGGTTAGGTTTTTAAGGTTAGGCACTCAACAACATAACACAGTTCATTATAAAAATTTTTGAAATGAATAATGGTGCGTTCATTAGCTCATGTAAAATTTAAGAAATTAGATAAGATTTCTTTTAATTATATATGTATAAAATATATTTTAATAATGTACGTTATTGCTATAATTATAAATAAGTGTGAAACAATACTATTAATGCAAAATATTTTCACAAAAATAATTTTATTTATATTTTGTTATTTGATTATAAAACTTAGATAATAAAAAAGTTATTTTTAAATTTGAAAATTAAGCCTTTTTATATTTAAAGAGTTCTACTATTTTGCCATGTTGATCACCATTTTCTTGGAAAATTTTGTCCAAATCGTCTTCTTCGGAATCAGAACTACTACTTCCTTTCTTTTCATTTGGCAAAACAAATATGACTCTGGAATCCGAGTCACATATTCGTTTGTAAGTCTTTTTATCTTTTAAAAATTTTTTCATTAATTCTACACCTAGTTTCTGTTTTAATAAAGACTCATCTATAACAATCTTTCCAGTATCAAACTGCTTTATTGTGTCATCTTTTGGGTCATACAGCACAATATGCTGTTCTGTAACCGTGTCTGAAGATAGTTTCCCTAATGTAGGGGTCCTGTTTGAGTAACTATTTATTGAATCGCTACATTTATTTAACCGATTTATTGAATTTTTTCTCAAGTTCTTTGGAGTTTGAATTGAATTATTTACATTTTTCTCAGCTAGTAGAGTTATTTTTGAAAATGCAGTTTTACTCCCTTCATTTTTGTTACATACAATCACATCCAATTCATTTTTTAAAGCTTTCCCATGGAAGCTAGCATTTTTGGGTTTTTGCTTAGCTTCTTCTATAACTCTAGAATTTTCTGAATAGCTTTCAATATCTGCTTTATCTTGTTTTAGCTCTTTTGACCCTTTTGTTTCTTTAGAGCAATTAATCAATTTATTGGTTTCTTGTACCTTGTGAACTGCTGCTTGGTTCGAATTTTCAAGATTTAGTAGCTTTTCTTTTTCTAATATATTACTTTTATGTTTTTGTAAAGTTTGTAGTGATGGAAGTACTCTCGGCTCGGAAAATTTTGAAAGATTTTCAAAATTTGATGTCTCTGATATTTCTTTTGGATCATGAATTTTCCATTTTAGTTTTTTAACTTTTCTCACATTTTCATTGTTTTTTGGATTCGAAAAGACTGAAGTCATATTTGTAGATGATGACTCACTGCTGTATAGTGTGTTTTCATTTTTCAGAGTTTTTAAAGGTCCACTTCTATTGTTTTCCATTGAGCCAGCACATTTTCGTAAATTTATAATTGAGTTTTTCCTAGAATGAGAAAAACTGTTTTCGCTACTTTCGGTACTCGATATTAGTATCAGTCGACGTGATTTTTTTGTTCGATATTCTTTTAAAGTTTTCGTATTTTTACCAAAAACTTCATCATTTACTTCACGATTTCCTGCTTGATTATTACCATTATGTATAATTTCTTCGCCCTGCTTTTTATTTTTGTCCTTTTTTCTCGAAGCAGTTTCTTTTTTGGTTCTTACTATTTGTGCGTCTGAAATTAACAAATAAACTTAAGAATTTTTTATAATTTAATAGAAGGAAAAACAACATCTAATGAGCTTCTGTAAGTTTTATATAACTTAAACGCTACTTACAATCTTTTACCTCAGTTGCCACACTTCTGTCAAAGATAGTAACTTGTTCTGATCTTTGCTTTTGAAAATATGTTTTACGTCTTTTAGAAATGAAAGATTCTATTCTACTTTGGGATTTATCTGTGAAAATATTTAATATAATTTTAAAAATTTAAGAAATAAAAAGTAACAAATAAAACCTGAATCAAAACTTGAAATATTGCTACTATTAAGCGTACAGCTTCTATTGTCACCAAAACTTTCGTTTGAGTCCTTAAAGCTTCTATGTTGATTGTTACTTCTCCGTTTTAAATTTTTGGAAATTTTATCGCTCTTATTCCTCTTGTTGTATATATTTCCTGGATTTACTCTTTCAGCATACTGAGTTTTATTTTCTGTTTTATTTCTACAAGTGCTACATGGAATGTTACTGTTATCATTTGTGTAAAAATTTCTCGATCGGAGCTCCTCTGTTTCTTGATAAAACTTGTTGTTTTTATTCTTTATTATTTCGGTAGAATTAATAATACTATTAATATCAAAATCAATTTCTGATTGAAATGAAGTGGTCTGGTTTCTTATTTTATTATTTGAACTTTTATTTTTATTGGTACTAAGGTGTTTTTGTCCTACTTCAAAGTCTTTATTAAATTTTTTATAACTTTTGTACGAAGGTCTTTTATAACACGACTTTTTGCCGTGTATAATACTTGAGATAGACTGATCGGTACTATCGTTTGAACTTTCAAAATAACTGTAGTGCAGGGTTCTTTTTTTAAGTTTAACTTTTTGTCTATACTTAAGAGGTGTTTCTTCGTTTATTACATTCAAATTATTTTCTTTAATATTGCTATTTAGTTTTAAAGATTTAAAGCGTTGAAAAGTGTCCTTTGCTCTTTTATTATAGAATTCATTTGAAACACTCTGTTGTCTATTAAAACAAAATTGTTTTATTGTGGTTGAACTGCAATGGATTGAACGAATTTTCTTTCTATTAGATAATATATACTTGGCTGTGTTGACTGATTGCAAAGATTCGTCGTCGGAACATTGATTCCGGTTTAATTCCTAAAATGTTTTTATGTAAATGTCATATTATATTCATTTAAGAATGTATATTTGCACAATAATTCATGTATGCAGCTAAATATTTAAAATAAAAAATAATGTCCAATTAAAGCTAAGCTCTTTCGTAGATAATATTCGAGAAATTCAAATAAAAGCGTTAGAGTTATATGTTAAGAAAACAGAAACAATGTTATTCCTCGAATTTTATATTCGAAGTTTTCCACTTTTCGCTTCAAAATAAAACAGCTCATCTTCAAACGGATCTACTATACTTGATCCAAACTACCTATCTATGAATCTATCTGGTGTTTACTTAACATTCTAAGGCGCATAATTAATACCTTACCTCATCTTATTCAAATAAGTATATACTTTTTCTGCTCTAATAATATACCAAAAATAAGATTTTACGTCAAACATTTTTGAGTTTTTTATTTGCAATTTTTTTCTTTAACTCTGTTTTATTCAAATGGTATGTTTTTCAGAGTCAACTCCGCTTATAAATAATAAATTAGAACCAATTGCAACAACAATTCCGTTTTGTAATTTTAATGAGAAGAAAGAACAAAAGATGAGAGAATGGGAAAGTGATCAAGGCAAAACAACTTTTGATAATTTTTTTGTATGAAAATGATGGCTTTATGTTAGAAAAAGGTCGTGAGCTTTGTAATGTTGAATGTTATGTTTCTAAATTAAATGAGTACTCAATGAATGAACTCTGTTAGTGTTGTTTTGCCACATCTGTTAGGACTAAGTATAGTAGATCCATATCACTAACATTACTCACAAACATATAAATTTGACAGATGTGCAAAAGACATGGAGAAAGTGTTGTGTGAAATTTTAATGGCAGACAAAATAGTACTCGTATTAGACAAGTAGTTTTTTTATGTAATTTTCTAAATGTAAGAAAGGAGAGGAAGCAATTAAATTTTAATAAATAATGAAACTAAAAAATAACTGAATTATTTTTTGATAACGTCAAGGAATATGTTAAAATTAATAACACTTGCCAGAAAGATTAATGAACGGTTTTTAGAAAAAAAAAAGTTTACAAGACAAGGCTTACTTTCTTTTGTCAACTGAATTAAAATTTAATACGCTTATTTAATTTTAAGCCTAATGAACGAACCTATTATTTTCTCCTAGCGAGCTTTTATGGAATCAAAATTTAACGAAGTTATTTTTTAATTTTTTTCTCCTGAAAAAGCACATTTCATATTGTCGAAGCACATCACACTTTTCATATAGGAAGACTGGTAACTCTTATCAATGCCAAAATAGACATATGACATTTCAAGTTATCTAAATTCTAAAGAACGAAAAAAAAAAGTTTTTCAATTTCAGATAAGATTTAAAAATATTAAAAAAAGGTACAAATATAACTTTGTAAGAACGTTATACTTTCAATAAATTTTAAAGAAGGAATTCTGATATAACAATGGTAGTATTAACATATGCAAGTTTAAGAAAAATACTGTGACTGTAAGTTTTACAGAGTTATCAAGATGAAGAAGAGCAAATTGGGTATCATGTAGATTCATTCCCAAAAGATTTTGGGTATGGTGCTTTTGAACATGACAGTGACAGTCAAGGTGGAGGAGAATCAAAACCAAGAATACTTTTAATGGGTTTACGACGTTCAGGAAAAAGTTCTATTCAAAAAGTTGTATTCCACAAAATGTCACCAAATGAAACTTTATTTTTGGAATCGACAAGCAAAATTGTTAAAGATGATATAAACAATAGCAGTTTTGTTCAATTTCAAATATGGGATTTCCCGGGTCAAATAGATTTCATTGATCCAACTTTTGATTCGGATATGATATTTGGTGGTTGTGGGGCTTTAGTATTTGTAATTGATGCAAAAGATGATTATAATGAGGCATTGACAAAATTTAAAAATACAGTCATAAAAGCATATAAGGTTAATCCTCGAATTAAGTTTGAAGTATTCATTCATAAGGTAATATAAGTCAAGTGATTCAAAAGAAAATTTTATTATTACAGGAACCATTAATTATGGATAAAAATTAAATTTTAGGTTGATGGCATAAGCGATGATTCTAAAATGGAATCTCAACGCGATATACATCAAAGAGCAACTGATGATTTAGTAGATGCAGGTCTGAATCAAATTCATTTAAGTTTTCATTTAACTTCCATATATGATCATTCAATTTTTGAAGCGTTCTCTAAGGTAGTTCAGAAACTAATACCACAGCTTCCGACATTAGAAAATCTTTTAAATATTTTTATTTCTGTAAGTTTCTTCGAATTCTTGTTTTTACAAACAAACTATAATTAATTACTCAATTACAGAATTCAGGAATCGAAAAGGCTTTTCTATTTGACGTTGTTTCTAAAATATACATTGCTACTGATTGCTCACCAGTCGATATGCAAAGTTATGAGCTCTGTTGTGATATGATTGACGTTGTTATTGATTTGTCAAGTATTTATAGTTCAGAAGAAAATGCTTTTGATAATCAAAGTTCTAGTCTAATTAAGCTAAATAACAGTACAATTCTTTACTTACGAGAAGTAAATAAGTTTCTAGCTCTTGTATGTATACTACGAGAAGATAATTTTAATAGACAAGGTGTAATTGATTATAATTTTCTATGTTTTCGACAAGCTATTAGTGAAGTCTTTGAACTTAGGTTGAAAAGTCAAAAATTAGAGACCTTAAATGAAAATGATGAAGATTGCTTAGAATATGAAAATCAACGATTAACAAACGGGGATTCAATTGATTCAGCGAACAATTCAATCAATGCTTAACTGTACAATTTATATGTAATCATCATTAATAATAAAAAATCTTTATACTTATAAACTACATACATACTTATGTATGCATGTATGTAAACATAAATTCCATACATACTTATGTATGTATGTAATTTTCATTTGATAAATCTAAATGAAATTTCCTTTTTTAAATATTGCAAAATAAATATTTTGATATATTTTTTTAATAAATGAAGTTTGTAACCAATAAATAATAGATTTGTCTTAATAATAATTAAGTTGGTTGAAATTAGAATTTTTAGAATGTTTTTAAGAATTTCCAAAACAAAATTTCATAGTATTGCTTAACGTTTAACAGATATTAATGTTGAAATCAAATAAAAGTTTTACACTGGAATTTTCTTACTGAAAAAGTAGAAAATGTAATACAAAGGAAATAATATTAAATGAGCAGGTTCGATGGAGAAAATATAAATTTATTGTAGTTATTTGAACTTAGCAAAATACAATCATACATACTTAGATTATGTATGGCATGTTTAATGACCCAATTCACGTATTTTAAACAACTTCATATGTTTTGGGAAAGATATAAGATTTCCAAAAATATTTTGATATGTTTTCCTTAATTTCAAAAGTATTTTATCATTCTACATAAATGCAACTCTATTCTTTTAAAATTAAAACTTACCTCTTCCATCAGAATTTTTTTATCAACAGGTTCTTTAGATTTTGGAAAATCATTGCAATTTTTGTACTTGTTATTTTCTTTTAACCAATTTTGAACTTTCTCAGAAGTGCTTATGTCAAAAGAATTCATGGCCTGGCTGATGCCATTTCTCCGCCAATTATCCTCTCGCGTGTGCATTATTTGTAAAGTACTATTTAACACTTTTTGAATATCAAATTCAGGATCTTGCTTTTCGTCAGGTATAGAATTATCTTCAAATTCTTCAGAATTACTAGAAGATTCAACTGAATCCTCTTCAGAAATAGCGTCAACCAGATCTTTAAAATTTATCTCACATTCTAGAGGATCTGTTTTATATTTCTGCAAAATTATTTAAAATAAGTAAAATTTACAAACAAGCTATTCAATTTTACCTCACAAAACTCACTCCATAGCTTAACACGGTCAAAAATTCTACCATCGTCTGGAAGAATATCGTCATAGCTAAAATATTTTGTTGGTTAAGATTTATTTTATTCGATAACATACTTTATTAATAATTACCACTTTGTAGACATAATATTTAAAAAAAAACATTTATTTCTTAAACAAAACGTACGAATAAACTATAGACAGATTTTGACAGCACTATTTTAAAGTTTAAATCTTATTCAACGGAACGATTCTATTATGCGAGTTTACACGATCATCCAAGTCAAAGTTCTCCTGCAAAATTTATGCTTTAGCATTTTTGATAGTTTAAAAAAAATTAAAAATAAAACATGCGAAATTATTTTGATTCATAATTTTTTTAACCCCGAATTGTGAATCAAATGAAACGTCAATAAGTAAAAAAATAAATATTAAAAATTAATTTGTTTCAGCCGCGATTAATTGTTTGACATATTCTTTTTGTTAGTTTTGAACCAATAATTTTTTCATTTAATATTATATTCTCCTAAAAAATATCTTTGAATAGATTGAGAAAGAATTGATCCGTGACATATTTTTCTAAATTTTGTGCTGTTAAATTTCTATTTGTCACATTATTATAAAGCATTATATTATGATGACTTACTTATTTTAAGACAGAAGCAAACTTATTATGTTAATGTTGCAATGTCACATTTTTTGAAAATTACAAAGAAGTATAATGTATAATTTAAATAAAATATGTAATATACATTATAAAATAAAATTTAGGAATTAATAAGACATAAAGAACGATTTATCTAAGTACATATTTCAAAAATGAAGAATATGAAGAATACTTTCAATAATATGAAGAATACACAAATTTAATAATTATTTTTGGCGTTTATCGAACTTTTCCCACAATACTAGAAAAACACCAGAAAATTCTGTTTATAACACTTTGTCTTACAACTAAAAATAGTTGAAATTGGGTACATGAATTTGACTTGGCCGTCATTAAAAACGTCAGAATCAGAAACGTCATTCTGCGATTCGTGAAAACAAAAAATAGGAAAAATTATTATTAAATACTCATTTTATATAATTTGAATATAAAAATTTCATGTATTCACAATTAAAAGTTTCAATTTTTCGCCTATCTTCTATGAGTAATGGAAAATAACACTTTAAATGACTTGTCTGAGGATATAATGTCCCGTTTTGAGAACGAACCAGAATTAGGTTAGTAATACACAAAACACAAAAAAAAAACATTTAGCAAAAATATAATCTCTTGCTGCTAGGAATAATGGCTCACAATGAAATATTTCCACATGATGAAAATATTTTTGGTGATACGGAGGAAGACAGTGAACCAGATGATATCATTGTATTGCATATGGATATTAGAGAGCCTCTGAGTAGCTTACGGTAATAACAGCGATCAGGTCTTTAGGAGAATTTTTCGTTTTATTAAATTTTAACACTTTACAGAGTTATTTTAGAAAGAAAAGTAGGAATGGAGTTAAAAAACTACTCATTTTGGTTACAGGATGCGCAAATGGTAAACCTTTAGTTAAAAATTGTGTTCAAAAGTCAACATTTTCTTTATAGCTGGAGCCACATAAAAATTTGGTTGATCAATGTGTGAAAGGTGAAGGTTTAGTCCAAGTCAACGTTCAAATACAAACTATTAATCAAAGAATAAATATTGTGGATGTTCTAAAACCTACTGAAGATGCACTTGGTATATTATAGATTTCTTTAAGGTTTTCGGTGTTTTCACGTTAATTTTGTAATTAATCACGTTCTAATCTTGTAGCTGAAATAGATTCGTGCTCTGAAATTCAAAGAAAAACTTTTGAAGAAAAAAATGAAGAGCTAAAATCATGTGAGAAAGAATGTGTTAAAACGGAAATGAATAAAACTGTTAAGAACATAAAGGAAGATGGAAAACTAGATGTACAGCCACCAAATAAAAAGGCGAAAAAAGAGGGGCCTGTAGTTAATTGGATTTTAGATACTAAGTACAAAAAAGAGCAAAATCGTTTGAAAATACCAGAAGATCCCAATGAATGGACACCTCGCCAAGTACAGCATTGGTTGTATTGGGCAATACAGCAATTTAACTTGGTAATATTTCGAAAAACTACAATTACAACATATTAAATATTTCTTATTTTTTAGACAGAAATTAATTTATCTGATTGGGATATGGATGGAAAAGAGTTGTGTGCACTAACATTAGAAAGTAAAAAAAAAATTAATCTAATTTTTAAGTTACCTTATGTTTTATTTGTGTTTTTAAGAATTTAATAAAATTGCGCCACGAGATCCGGGGAATGTTTTTTGGACACATTTAGAACTTTTAAGGCAATGCAAATTTGTTGCTGTTATTCAAAAAGGTCCACTTGCTAATCCATCCCAGAATCAAAAAAAAGATTTAACGGAAAGTACTGGAGATCAATCGATTATGAGAAAAACTCATAAAATATTAAAAAAGCCTGTAACGTTAGTTAAAACTCTAGATGATCAAACTTTAGCTCTAGAACCTTATTCGAATCGATCGGGCAACAATGGGCAAATCCAACTATGGCAATTCTTATTAGATATTCTGACTGACAAAGAACATGTTTCTATTATACAATGGTTAGGGACGGACGGCGAGTTCAAACTGATAGATCCAGAGAAAGTTGCTCAATTATGGGGAGAAAGAAAAAACAAACCAGCAATGAATTACGAGAAATTATCTAGAGCATTGCGTTATTATTACGATGGAGATATGATTTCGAAAGTTCACGGGAAAAGGTCATTATAATTATTTTAATATAGAAGTTTAACCAAACATTAATTATTTTTAGATTTGTTTACAAATTTGTTTGCGATCTAAAATTTTTAATTGGATATAATGCAGAAGAGCTGTCACATTTAGTAGGAAATGCTGCTCATAAATCTCCCTCCAAATCTTTTGATTATAATTTTATTTTGTAAATTTAATAATATATGTATACATGTACATAATATCAGTTTCATTTTAAGCAATTTAGTGTAAAAATAAATTTTAATTTTTGATTTAAAATAGTTATGTAAAATAAACTATTTTAAAATTTAAAATATTTAAAAAATATAAGATTTTTTTCTTAGGCGAATTCAACATATGCATAGTTAATTATCATGTAAGTATGTATATGTAGACCCATACATAATAATATAAAAAAACAATAATTAAGAACAATTAAAAAATTTTTGCAACTATATTTTTTGTTATTAATTTGTGACATTTGTAATAATTATTGCTTATATAGCTATAGTTTCTTTCTTAAGCCAGGATAAGGTCAACGTATCATTATTTGACTCCAAAATAGGGGATAAAGTGTCCCACACTTCTTTATGGTAATCATTTAATTGCTTTATTTCGTTTTCTGTTAGTAATTCTTTTTTAACCATTTTTGTTTGCTTTGGACACATTGTGATAGTTTTAAAACCGAGTGCGCCACGTCCTGAAAAGTCAAATTTTGGTTTCACTTCAACAATTTGTACTATATCTTCAATCCTTAATCCAAACTCTCCGTCCTTATAATATCCTGGTTCGTTTGAAATGAACATATTTTCCTGTAAACCAGGATCATCCGGCATTAAACGTATTCCACAACCCATGGGTCCTTCGTGCACATTTAGAAAGTGTCCCACTCCGTGACCTGTGCCATGGCCATAATCTAAACCTATATCCCAAAGAGCTTTGCGAGCTAAAGTGTCTAATACTTGACCTTTAACCTTTTTCGGGAAAATTGTTGCTGCAAAATTTAATTGACCCTTTAAAACGCGAGTATAAGCTTCTTTTTGGAAATCAGTTGGTTCCCCAAAATGCATTGTTCTAGTGACATCAGTCGTCCCATCCCTGAAGATTAATAATTTTATATTATACTTTAAAAATAAAAAAAATCTTATCTATAAAATTTTTAAAGATTATTTTGATTAATATGTATGTCCATATATTAAAATACATATGGCTGCGAAAGTGGCTATGTACATTATACATTTGCGATTTAATATATGTACATATGTAGCAGTTGTACTTATAGTTATGCTAAGTTATATAACATACGTAGTATGTTTTGAACCACTTACAAGTATTGGGCGCCTGAATCACATAAATAAATTTCTTCACTGATTATTTGTCGATTTGATTCAGGTGTAGGACGGTAATGAATAATAGATCCGTTTGGTCCCGAGGAGCTTATTGTAGAAAAACTAATGCCTTTAAAATGATCTTTCGTTCTACAATTTAATTAAGAAAAATAATATAAAGTATAAGAGAAAGCTTGGGGTATTTTGTATTTACGATCTAAATTCCTCTAATTTAGCTGCCCCAGATATTTCATCGACGTATTCATTATTTTTTAAAGCTTCTTCCAACCAAGCGAAATATTGACATAAAGCAATACCATCTCTAATATGGCTTTGAATGAATCCTTCACATTCTATAGGATTTTTAATAGCTTTCATCAGACATATAGATGTTATCTATAAAAAAATTTTTCTTTTATGAACTAGGAATAAACTAAGCAACTTACTTCTTGATGCAATTTTTTTCTTGGAACTAAAGTATTCAAAAAGTAACTGGATGTTGGAGATATCCATATTTTCCTTTCAGTTGAAGATTCAATACTCTGTATAGTATTTTTAATATACTCGTATTCAAGAATATTAATTTTTACTTGATTTTTTTGTTGATGATCTTCAAAATCGTTTGGAAGTTTTGAAGAATCAACGTAAAGCATAATTTCGTTATGTGTAATAACCAAATATGCAAAGAAAACAGGATTATAACCAATGTCATCACCTCGCATGTTCAAAAACCATGCCACCTCATCTAAAGCACTGACTACTAAGCATTCTACATTTTTATCATCCATATCTTTGCGAACTTGGTTCCATTTTTCCTTTATTGTGAGACCTGTGAATGATAGATCTAAAGTAATAATCGGTTTTTTTTGGGCGACATGGTTGATTATGCCAAATTATGTCAATAAGATTTTCTTCAATTCCGATAAGTTCACATTCATTTGCTTCCAAATCAGTTTTGATTGGTTGCCAAGCTCTATAGGAGATCAATTTAGGGTCAAATCCAATTTTACTTCCCTTTTGCAAATTTTTTGCTAACCATGCACCAATTCTAGGAGTAGTTGGCAACCCATCTTTCATAAGTGTCCAATTAGAATCTAACTGTTTTTCAGCTTGCTGATAATATCTCCCGTCCGTCCACAACAATGCTTTATCATTTGTAACAACGGCGGTTCCAGCTGAACCGTTAAAACCACTTATAAACGCTCTTCGCTCATCGTGCGGGCAAATATATTCTTAAACATCATTAATTAATATTAAATTTTTAAAATTCATTGCACTGGATTTACCAGAATTATGTGCGTCATCTGATGGTATGATATACGCCACAATATTTTTTTCTGTTTTCTGGAAGACTTTTCTTAAGTCTGCTAACAGTTGCGTTGTTTCTATCATACTTGCTATTCTCTGCATTAATAAACCAGTACTATTGAAATATTAAAGCTATGGTTGATTTATATATGTATGCAAATGCCACCTGTTTGAGATATATTTAAGATAATTGAGTTAATCTTCTTTAGATTAGATTGCCATATGATATATTATTACTATTATAAGTTGTGTACTGAAGTTTTATTAAAAGCTTGTCTATATTAGAGTCATTGAAAGCAATATAAGCGTAGTCGTTTCTACAAACAGCAAATCATAAATGAAATTCTTTTTCTAGTGTTTGACAGCACCAATTAATGTGAAAATAATAATAGAGGGAGTTTAAATTTCTTTATTATTTTCTCTAGGTTAACTTTACAATTTAATAAATGGCAATGTACACATATTACTCGTAATTGATAAGCTTTTAAATTAATGATTATAAAATTAATAAATAAGGCACCAGTACTCGATTATAAAAATACGTCAATTAAAGCGAAATTATATATAATAAATAATATGTAAAATATGTCAATTTTAAAATAAATTGAAAAATTTTACTTGAAATGAAATTTATTAGAAAAAAAAAGTCTCAAATTAACTTATGCTATTTTGTTGTTAATTCATTAATATTACTTTTTATGAAGTCAAGGGTATTTTGATAACGAGGTTAGAATTTTTATAGGAAGACGAACACTTAATACTGCATTCAAAAATTTGGAAATAAAAAAAAACGAAAAATTTTTGAAATTGAAGGTTTTACGAAAATGAAGTTTTCCTACCGGTATTGATTTATTCATAATTTAATGAGTTTGAAATGACAAACATTTTACTGCCACATGTAAACGTTCTTTTTAACACTACAATTGAGTTATGGATTGTTATGACATGCCGACTTGCATTATTAGCTGTGTTTACACGACAATTTTTGCACCAATGGTTTGACATACTTCTCATTTCTTTGGCGACAGAGTTTGTAAACAAGCGAAATGAAACGTTGATCAAGCATTGATGATAAAGCGCTCGTTTTAACACAACTAATGATATCAATGAAAGAGAGAACGAAAAGAGGGTCGATTTTGTACGTAAAACCCAATGTTTTCAACAACGTGAGGATGTTCACAAAAAATGTTACTTCTCTTAAGACGTTAAACTATTTTTTTCGTCTTTTATTATTTAATAAATGACATTCAATCTTTTACTACATTTGTATAAAAGTGTAGCAAATTTTTTATATAGGAGTGTTGCTTTTGTAATCTCCGACTATTGTAATTCTACATAGCTTTATGAAACAACAGGATGAAAATCCAGCTGTTGTCAAACATTAAAATTTAACTCAGCTATTATGTTTTTTTCTTATAAAGCGAAGAAAGTATATCGCCTTCTGAATTTTCAAAAAATTATGTTGACTTATTTTTAATTTCATAATAAATTAGCGATATTTTTTTTCTGAAAAACACTATAATAATTTTTACCATTCATCTACAATCTACATACATAAACCATTATAGCATTCAATACAAGTAAAAGTAAAAAAATGCAAAAAGTTTAATGTATCTTTAATGTATTATTATGTTGTGAAAAACTAAACTTTATAAATATGCACATTCATTATTTTTCACAATTATGACAAGTTACCCAGCATTTACACATACAAGTTACTTGCATGCAAGTTTGTATAATATTAATTGTCAATTAGTTGTTCGAAATGTCAAATTACTTGCTATTATGACGTAGGCGTTTAGCAAGTTAATTTTTGTAAATGTCTTTGAGAAGAAAACAACTAGCAATATATATAATTGTTTATAAATTTTAGAAACCATAAGTTTGCTAAGTTTAATTTTTTCAAAACAAAATTCAAAAATTTTAAATTAAAAAAAAAAAAAAAATCAAAACAACAAATTTTTTTTTGTGAATTTCTCAATATGTCAAATTACTTGCTCAAATTACTGGCAGCAAAATTTTCTTGCAAGTTGAACTGCAAGTAAACAAGCAAGTAGAAATATTTCAATGGGTTAGTAAAATTTTTGTATGTATTGCAACTTTCTTGCAAGTAACTTGTACGTGTAAATGCTGGGTTATCCAATTGTTATTTTGATTTTGTTAATGCTGTCAGAATCGTTGCTGGTAAGAATTTTAAATGTCAACGAGTTTTGTCATTTGATATTTAATTTCCTTTAATTAAATCAATGGTGAATGGAGTTGTTGTGTTGTAAAGGTTTAAATTAAAATAAAAAAAAGTGAAATTTGTTTTTTTTTTATCAAAGTTTGATTAAAATTACACACTTTTTCAATATTGTTTATATCTACGACCATGTAATAAAAATTTAAAAATTGCCAATAAGTAAACGTAAAAACAAAATTAAGTTTGTGATTCATGCTATGTATAAAAAATAGAAGGCCACATATTGTACTACAAAAAATTTTTTTTTATCTCTAAAGTTTTATTTGTTACCTCAGACGAAAAAAATGTTTTATATTAAAATTCGCTTAAGTGGTTAAATTATTATCTTATCAAGTAAGAAAAAAAAACGATAAATATCTGTACGAAATATTTTAAAATAGTTCAAAGTACCTATTCATTGCGATTTAATTGGTTATATTACATAGTAATATTACTCCATATAATAGCTTCCTCATGAATGAAAAGATGAAGCAGCCGACAACAAAAAGTAAGGAAAAGTCGAATAATTCTAGTTTACTTTTAACTAAAGATGAGAATGAACAAGTTTTTAGCCTTTTAGGAACAAAATGCCAGGTGAGATTTCATGTAAATAGTACGTATGTGCATTTATACATAATTTTTTTCAAAGATTTGTTTTTGCATTCCTTTTGTAATGGTTTTCTATTTTATTTAGAAATTCTGTCATTGATATTTGTTTTAAATCGATAAAAAAACACCTATTGTATATATATATGTAGATATAAAAAGAAAACCCTTAAACATGCGAGTTTTATTTTCGGATATCTGCAATAACTGGCCTTGACTTATTGCATACATATATAAATCACATTGCAGTGATATCCTTGAAATTTACTTTTGAAAACAAACCTTTAATGAATGGTGCATTGTGAAGTCTTATTTTTATTATTTTACTATAATTGTTTTTGTGTTGAAAACTTACATATTTTATTTTTAAATTGATATTTTTGCAACGTACATACATGGTGGGGTAATATAACTTATAATAATTTTGCGTCATTATATTTTTTTTTTTTGAGAAGGCTTTATCACATTATTTTAGATAATTGAGAATATTATTTAATTGTCTAGGTTAATGTACCTACCTAATGTATCTGTGTCTACCTTCAAGTTTTTTTTTTAATTTTACAAAAGTAGTAATGTTCTTAGACAGATATCTATGTATGTAGGTAGGTGCTTATACTTTTAATTTTTTAAATAAGATTCAAATGCAGAATGTAAAAACTTTTGAACTTAAGGTTCACGTCTTAATATTTTAAAACAGAAAATTAGTAAGGAGACTAGGTTAAGTGATCTGCCTATGCTAAAAGCTAATAATATTAGGTCCCCAAAAAGAAAAAATTAAAATATTATTTTTTCAGTTCCTTTCGAATCCAAATATTTAATATAGCATTCTACTTGTTACTTAATTAAAATATAATTAGACATGTAGGTAGGTCCCTACTTATTTTCTGTGAATATACATTACATTTTCTGATCTTTAAATATTTTTATATGAAGAGAAAATTACATTGCAAAAAAAAATTACAAATATGCCATTCGAATCGTAATGAATTCTTGTTACCTCTCTCTTATTTAACTAGAAAGCCAAAAGCTGTTTTCATTAACTGAAACTTCCACAAATTTACGTTTTATTGGTTATGTAAATTAAACATTTTTTCCAAAAACTTTCTTTACTATTTCGAAATGAAAATTAAAATTAATTTTTTTAATTTAACTTAATACATAATAATATGTATTAATAATTATTTCATACACCAACGCAATATCGAAGACGTGAAATGAATACAAACTAAAACTTGTAATAGTAAAAAAAACTTAACTTTTTTAAATGCAATTTTACCATTTAGGTGCTAAATGGAAAAAGCATAATTCAAAAAAATTCCAATAAGGAATTTTTTAATAGCAAATTGGGTTTGTTATATTAAACTTAAAATAAATAATTAAGTAATAGGAACATAATTTTAAAATTAAATCGTTATGAGGGCTTTAGCATTCATTTGAATTCAAAAAATACTTATTATTAGACCTGATTCATCTTCTGGATTATTTTTTTTTTTATAAAATGTTACTGTTTCCTTACTAATATGAATATGAATTCATAAATATTTTTATTCGATTTTTTCATTAGGTGTTTCAATCAAAAATTAAAATTATTTCATTGAATTCATTCTGAAATTTTAGAGGGGTATGTCATTAATTATATCATGTCCTTGTTTAGGATTATCATATTTCATGTGGTATCTATTTTTCAAATGACGAAATTGTTTTTAATAGGTCTCAATTAAGTTTTCATTTTTTTTTCTTGAACTAGATGTACTAAGCTATTTTGATGTATGTACATTTTTCATATTTTAAATTTTTAATATGATAGTGTATTTACATATATGTATGTCTTTTTTAATGTGGCTGGTATTTCTGAATCCACATTTTCATAAAAATCTAATAAAAATTAATTGTGTTAAAATTTCTGTTTTGTAAACATACACCGCATATTTTCCTGGATATAATAAATTAAAAATGAATTTATTATCAAAGAAACTATTACTAAAATTAAATAATTTTTAGAATTTTTTTTTCAAAGGATTCGACATTTGTAAATTCTTTACAATTAAAAAATTATAAATCATTGCTAAATGAAATCTTTTAATAAATCCTTTAACCGCGATTTTTTTTCTCTTACTGCAATTAGTTCTTGTTAGTTGCAATAATTTCGATAGAAAAACAATTTAGTGTTGGCAGAAGCATAAATTTATTTTAAATTATTAGTTGATTTTATATTCCAGAATTTTTTTTATTTAATTTTAGTCCTTGGCGACATCTGTAGTTCAGATATATGTAACTGAAGGTCCAGCACATTCCCAATGGCGTAAAAAACATACGGCCGTATTATGTTTAATTAAAGATAGCATCAAAAGGTCATATTTCATGAGGGGTTACTGTTTAATTAGAAACGAGCTTTGCTTTGAACATGAATTATACGATGCTATTAAAATCCATAAAACTAGACCATATCTTCTTACATTTGAAGGACAGGTAACATTTTTGTAAAAGCTTTCTTGCTGTGTTTTCAATTGATATTTATAGAATGGTCATGTGGCATTTAATTTCGCTTCTGAAGAAGAATGTTTTCAATTTTACCGTATGGCTGAAATTATAATAGACAATCGTGCAAGAAAACGTTTGGAACGCCGAAGTAGACCCAAACCTCCTTTGACGCCGCAATCAGATATTGGACTGAATGAATTCAAAAATAAAACTTTCGATAATGTTGACGATGGCCGAGGGAAAATTCGTAACAATTCCAATGCGCCTAGTTCAACAACAACAACTACAAGTTCAACTTCCAAAGCAACAAAAATTCTTAATAATTTCAGAGATAGAGACAAGAAAAAACCTAAAAAATACAGCAAAAGTGATATAGGCACACCAACTAATTTTGTACATGTTTCTCATGTAGGTTTTGATCCCACGAATAAGGGACCGGATATACTTGCCCCAGAAAACGAAGAATTACTTAAAAATTTTTTGATGAAGGCTGGGGTTTCTCAACAGGAGGTACGTATATAATAGTTTATTAGAAATTCATTTTTTCATTGATGAATTAAACATTTTAGTTAAATGATAAAGATACGCGTGATTTTATTTTGGATTTTGTTCATAATCATAAAGTAATTGAATCTTGCAAAACTGAGAGCAATGAAAATAAAATTGAGCCTGCTAAAGCGAAAGCACCAGCCCCAGCTCCTCCTCCAGTAAAAAAACGAGAATATGTAAGTTTTGCTTATTTCAAAAAAATATTTTGTTTTTTTAATGTTTTTGTTTTTTGATAGAATGGATCTACTCAAAGAACTGCGCCTCCTCCTCCTCCTCCTGTTCCAACACGGCAACCACCGCCGCCAGTGCCGACAGCGCCACCTCAACCTGCAAGAGGAGCACCGCCAACTAGGCCCCCTCCTATAAATGTACAAGCTCCAGTTGCATCTCCAGCGCTTGCTTTGGCAGTAAGTTTTTATATAAATTTGTTACAAATATATTTTAACAAGATTATGGTGCATTATTTTCAATTTTAAAAATTTAATTTTCAACAGCCACCCCCTCCTCCACCTCCACCATCCTCAGTTGCTCCTCCTCCACCTCCTCCAATGCCAACACAAGTGCCGGTAATTGAATCGGTTGTGACTAAATCAAGTTTACCAGTAGTAGAAGACTCAAGAAGTGCTCTTATGGATAGCATTAGAAAGGGAATTTCCTTAAGGGTCGGTTTTTTTCTGAACATATTTATATATGTATATATATCAATTTGTATGACAACCAAATATTTTTTTATAGAAAGTTGATCCTGCAACATTAAGTACAGGAAGTGGCGGAGATCCACGTAGTGATTTGTTATCAGAAATTAGACAAGGAACTGTTTTGAGACCAGTTCAAGACCGTGAATTACCTGCAGTTGCCAATCGGGATAGCAATAATAGCGGTGGAGGAACAGATGCCTTAGCAGACGCTTTAAGACGAGCGTTATTAGATCGCAGTCGTGTTATTCAATCTTCAGAAGAAGATACAGACAATTCAGATAATGAAGATGAGTGGGAAGATTAAAGAAATTAATAAAATAAAGAAAAAAATGTTGGTTTCATGTATTGTAACAAATCTGCTTTAACCATCTACATATTTAGTCTTCTCTCTACTTTCAATAAATTAAAAAGAAAATTTAATTTATATTTTCTAGAAAATTTGAAAATGAAATTTAACAAATAATCAAGATTTTCAAAATTAATTATATGTACATATATTAATATGTATGTATTTAATTCCGAAAATCATACTTAAGATTATAAAATAACATGCAAAATATGTGGAACGTGAAATTACATAATACGTGTACTTTTTACGTCCAAAATTTAAATATTTATATATAAAATAACGGTATTATGCAAGATCAATTTACTAAAGTATGGCATAAGTATTTAAATATATGCAAATGCAATTGGACCAAGATGTAAAGAACGTTACCTATAGGTTTTGGTTTTGTTATTTATCTTGTAATAACAGTTATATTATTTTAAATTCGTTTCATTTTCAGATAATAAAACTAATGTGCCAAAATTAGATAAAAGTTTAAACATAACATAAAGCATATCTTACAGATTTGCTTAGATATATTAGAATGAATATCCGCTTCCAAAGTATTTAAAACTGTAATTAGTTAGCAAATTAGTAAATTTCAATACACTGTTCTAATTATCGAACTGAAATCTGTTGTTTGAACTTAGAATTAATTAAAGATTTAATATTAAATTTAAGCTCCTTTTTGAATTTGTTGTATTTTTTTTAATAAATGCAGCTCAAAAAAATGGTATTTTAAAAAATATACACCAAGTATATGTACCAGAAAATTGCAAATCAAAAAAAATTTTTTTTTTATTTATATTGTACTTGTTTTAAAATTTTGTTGAAATATTTTCATAAAGAATAAGAAATTTATCAATATCATGCAAATATCTGATTTTCTAGTCCTTATTTTGACACATTATGCATAAATTTTTATTTCTGCATTTGTAAATCTTTTTTTATGTTTAACAAGTAAAGTAATAAAAAAAAAGATATTTTAATAATGTAAATTAGTGTATATAAATTAACATTTATGAAACAAATTGGGAATTTAACATAATATTAATATTAAAACATTTCAAATAGTTCAATAAATTAATTAAACAAATTTTGAGTTTATTATTTTTAAAATTTTATAGGTTACAAGAATTTATTTAAAACCTTATGAATTAGATGTTTAATTCATTTTGGATGTAAGTTCATAACAATTAAAAATTTTGGCAAATTATATTGGTAATATATGACACCCCAGCAAGCCACGGCCATTCCATGTTCTCGGAGTTAAAGTTGTTTCAATTATCTGCTCTTTTCGATTAATTTTAATTGGTATACGTTCATTAACTTTGTTTTTAACAATTTCAGCGATGATTGCAATATTTTTTTTAAAGTTTCTTGAATTGGCCGAACCGAATTCAATTATTTGATCACCAACACAAATTCCCTAAAGTAATATTTTTATTAAAATTTCTATAAATAAACGAAAATGTAATATTGTAATTACCGCGTCTTCTGCCGGTGACCCCTCAAATACTAAATCTACTTTACATATTGCAACCAATGGAAGTTCATCTTCGGGTTCTTTCGAATTTAAACCGATTGTTTTAGTGGACCCAGATGTACTTGAACTTGCAGCGGCAGCTTCAGCATGAACTTCATGTATACCTTTTAAATCATTTAAATTAATGAGGTATTTATTTTAAAGTAATGATTTTACCTTTTTCAATTTCTTTCATTAGGGCTTTAAGATCATTTTGGAGACATATTATTTGATTTCGGGCTGTACGAACTTGATAAACATCAATATCATTTCTAGGAAAACCTTCATTATCTATAAGCGAACCAGTCATTCCAATATTTCCATTCTGAAAAGTGAAAATCAAAAGGAAACTGATGAATAGCTTTCCACAAATATATAGCGTTGGCGTTATATTGCTTATTAAATAGGCGATCAATAATCGGTTAGAAAAAGTGTAAAATGTAAAAAATTTATGCGTAATTGACAAATTAAAGTTTTCACAAAAAAATTAACATTTATATAAATAAATCTACATACATACATATTGATATCTTGAAAATCGAAGTAAGGAAATAATTTAAAAATAAAACCCGTTTTGTATACAATCTATAACTTTATTCATACCGCTTCAAGAACTGCTCCAAATTCTTTAATTTTTTGTTCTATTTTATCTTTTTCTGCAATCAATTTCAAAGTTTGTTCTTTTTTGGAAGAACCCGGGACAACCATTTTTTTTAATAAAAATTTCTTCTAATCTTTTAAAGTGGTTTATTTAGGAATATTTATTTGTTTACTATTTATTTTTGCCAATTCACCATAAATTTCACATCAAAATGAAACGTCACCTAGACTAAATATAAGATAAGTGAAATAAAAACTCTGGCGGAATATTTTCAAACCTCAAATATCAAGAAAACATAGGCTAAAGTTTATCCTTTTCTAAATTAGTTTTTTTACTCACAGACACCTACTAGATACCATCTAGATTTTTACACCAGACACCTACTAGATAAATACGTAGGAAGGTTCAAGGCCAGTTTTAAAATAATTTGATTAACAACTAAGCAATTGTTTCAGAACGTCAAAGTATATATTAAAATCGAACGACTTGTCAAAAAATTAAACATTTAATTACGTTTCGGTGAAAGATATTATTAATCACGAGATAAATCTTATTATTTTTTGCCAAGATAAATACGATAAAACTCAATACGATCTCAACGGCACAACTTGTTTTTGAACCAGGAATTTTTTTAAAAAATGAGAGACACTTAAAAATTAAATTTCTAGAAAAAGTACATTTGTATTTTATGAGAACTAAATCATTAGTATATACAAAAACCATTTTTATGCAGATGCTTAGCTGAAAAATAGATGTCAGTATACTTGTTATGCTAAAAGCCAAAAAAAACATAGTGATATAAGTATGTACTGTACATGAATTCTCATATTATATGAATGTTTGTATGTTAAGTGTATAAAAATTAATTTTGTTATGATTGATTAATTAAAAAATAATTTGATTCATTTATTTTTTATAATATTGTATAGAATGATAAATTTTGTATGAAAATAGCAAAGTAACATAGCTAGGAGTAAATAATTTTTGAAATAATGTATGTATGTCATAATGTCTACGTAATATGTATTTGATATGAAAATTAATATTTTGATTTATACTTTATTCGAAACCGTTTAAAATTCATTCAAATATTGTGTATCATAAATTAATATAACGTTAGAACAAGAGTAATTCTAGTAACATAGTTTTTAATACAATGTTATAAACATTTTAGTATAATTACTAGACGAGGAAGCAAGCAATGAGTTTAATTGCTTAGTAGAAAAAAAGTGCCCGTATATAATACAATATGTATTATGTAGGTATGTACACAATTTATATTAATCTAATTTGCACAACAAAACCTGTAAACCTTAATTATAATATGTAAATAGCGTTTGTCAAGAATGGGAAGACTACATGCTGTTTAGAATTTGTTTAGAAATTTGTGTTCTTCGTAAATTTTTGTTTTTTTTTGTTTTTTTATATATATTTATTAAGGTGATATTAAAAATATATGAGCGTTTTAATTTTGTAATCGATTAGAATTTTATCATCCCGTTGTAAATAATTTTTTTTTTATTCAAGTGGATTAAGTTTTATGAAGGAAAATGATTTTGATTTTATCGTTTGCTTTCTTAAGTGCTATTGGCATAAATATACATATGTACATATTATATACCAACATGAATATATATATATATATATGTAAGAATTTTGATTTATGATAGATTTTTATAATTTTTTATATTCTTTTTAATGAATATTTAAAAATGCCTTATCAAATAACGATGAAATAAAACATAAGTATTTATTTAGAGTCATTCACGTTTTTGAATTTAGTGCAAAATTAGATTTGTTGGTGAATAAAAGAAATTCGCGGCTTTTTTTTTCTTTCTTTTTGAAAATGAAAAAATTTTTTATTAAAAATTTTTTATACAATATTGTATTTTTGGAAATAATTATATGGTAAATCAAAGAATGAAAAAAATAAAGAATTACTATTGTAGTGTAAAATAAAATTTTTGGAAGATGATTGTAAATTTTTTAGTTTTGATTAATAACGCTCTGTGTTTGGTGCGTACATGTGTAAAATGTATGTACATATGTGTTAGTTAAAATTGCTTATCAAATACCGTTACAATTGCAAATATATAAAGAGATGACAGTAATTGTCCATTTAAAAATATTTTGTTTTGTGTTTAGAATATTGAAATTAAAATTTCATTTAAATAAAACTTAAATTGAAATAATAAATATTTAGAAATTCATTACAAATATTTTTTTTCTGTACCACCGATCATTTATTTTTAAATTAATAAAATATAATTTACAAATTTAACTAAAAATTTTGTTTGTTCAAAAGTCGAGAATAAAATAACTAAATCTCTCGCACCTTTTTCAAATTATCAATAAAAATTTACTTTCAAGGATTAAATTACCAATAAATAAATATTCTAATCAAAAATTAATTTTTTTTAGTGTATTAAAAATAATAATTAAACAAAGTTCTTAAATATAATGTTCTGTTTTAAATATTTTTAAGTCTAGAATATTTAATTCATAAAATATAAAATTGTAAAACTATATATAATTTAAATTTTAACAAAGCACCTTAAACCCAAAACTACCTTTCCATTTCAATGAATTAAAAGTTGTGATTTATTTTGAATTTCAAAATTATTTTGCATAACAAGTGCACACGTTCTCACATAATTTTTCAAAAAGAAATTTGTGTACACAGTTTTAAAAAAAATTGTCAAAGTCAAAATAAATTGTTAAAAAAACAAAGCCAAAATTTTAAGCAAATTAATTAAATAATGACGAATGTATTGTGAACACATAATATAAGCTATATAAGTGCATGTTAAAAAAAATTGACTTGAAAAAAAGGGTTAATGATAATTGCATTTAACATTCCAGAGGCATTAAGATATTTATTAAGAATAAAGATTTTCGAAAAAGTAGTTCTTAAATTTGGAACTGAAAAAGTTTAAAAATTTTATGTTCAAATCAAAAGTAGCACTTCTAAAGATTTATAGTTTTAATTTCAAGAACTGAGTTTTCGAAAACCATTAATAAAAATGTCTATACTTGGATTGAAATCTAATACCAACTTATTAACTACATTAAACAATATTTTAATTGATGAATTAAGGTGTTTGTAGCACCCTATACAAAATTTTGACATCACAGCCTATGCAGAATTTCGATTCCAACCATATGCAAATTGTTATAGTTTAATAACTTTTTAAAGTTTCTGCCGTGTTTTTTTTCTTTAACAATATCTTGTAAATTTATTATTTTTTGGCAGATTAAAGAAATATTACAGAGTTGATTACCTAAATCAATTTTATCTATAAGTATTTTTTCTATAATTTATTGGCAAAATAATTTATTATGTTTTCTATTCTTAATGAATTTATTTTGATTAATGAGAAATTTTAATCTTTTCTTAACTATTTACTTGTCGATAAATATGAACACTTATGTTAAATTCCAATTTAATTTGACATTGATTAAGTAAATTTTAATAGATTCTTAATATATTTGAATAATTTTAAATGGAACACTATTTTGTTTTATCATTAAAGTACATACTTATAAGTGATGTATTTAGATTTTTTTAATGATTTATTAACCATAATTCATAATTTATTGTGTAGGGCCTTGCGCGTGTCAAACTGATTTTATAATCAGTTATAATTTTTACTTTTCTACCTTTGCACTTCAATAATAAAGAGTGCTTTTAATACACACTATTCTTGTAGGCATAATATGTATAATTTGTACAATTGTTTTAAATTTTAAGTTAAAAATTATCTTTATTGTTATTTTATTAAATTTAATGTTTTAAGTTTATTTAATTGAAGTCGATCCAAGTTAAGATTTTGGTTTTATTTTTAGTTGCTCTTATGTTGTTGGTGAATGTTACAAAACGGAAGCTGGCCAAATTTTGGAACGGCTTCGATACTTTATGAAAAATGAAAGCATTGAAGCTTATATCGTGACTATGAGTGATGCACATCAGGTTTGTTATTGCATCGTAATTTCATATTTAAATTGAATTTAAATTACAAATTTTCGTGGTATAATACTCGTATTATATAATATGTTGTATATATATGATTCATGCACACACAATACAAAAATTAATTATTTATTTTTAATTTATCTACATTTTTAACATCAAAATTACTTTTATTTTATGTACTATATTAAAATTAGAGTGAATATGTTAGTGAAGCAGATAAAAGAATAAAATTTCTTACTAATTTTACTGGAAGTGGCGGAGAGGCAGTTATAACAGAGAACGAAGCTTTATTGTGGACAGATAGTCGTTATTTTCAACAGATTGATAATCAACTTGAACTTAGTTGTTGGAAACCTATGAAAACAGGTGAAATTCAGTGTTATCGTATTTTTTTTTTTACTTTTGATTTTATATTTTAATTTTTTTCATATCTTTTTTAATTTATACATATATGTAGGTCTTCCTGATGTCCCGAAAATACAAGATTGGTTAAATATGAATTTATTAAAAAATAATTCTCGAATTGGTTTTGATTCTAAATGTATGGAATGGAATAAGTTTCAAACATATTCAAATTCATTAAGGGAAAAAGGTCATCATTTGGTTGCTATAGAAAATAATTTAGTTGATAAAGTGTGGGAAAAGAAACCATCAGTTAAGAAAAATGAAATTTTCTCATTACCTTTAAAATTTTCAGGTAATTTACATAATACGTGATATGTATATACACAGAGTATATAAATATAACCATATAATATAAATATTATGCTTCATTAATTACATTGTACATTATTTAATTATTTACTGTCGTTACTAAATTCATAAAGATTGGTTTGAATATCTTCACATGGGTTGTAGTAAATTGTTTTGGTAGTGAAATTTAGTTGGCATATATAAGCTTGGAACGTTATCACACAACCGCACGATTTTAAATAAAATTGTATTTTTCAACTTTTTTGATTGCGTTCGAATATTTAATTAAATGCAATCTAAGCGAATTTTTGAATAAAATACTGACCTTTCTCACAATCACCATTCACTATTTGTGAACTTTTAATTATTCAACGCAAAATTTTTTTTTGTTTATAAATATTTTTTTTTTTTGTTTAATTATTTTTTATTGTGTTCTTCATTGAGAAATTTTTCAGATCAGGTTTAATTACACAATTATTGTTGTATCAAATAAAAATTATATCATCTTTACCGGATGTGTGTATGTATGTAATTCGTCGTATGTTTGAATGTAAGAAGTAGATATTGTAAAACTGATTGCAAGAAAGTTATAATAAAATTTTCGTAAAATACTTTTTTAACAAATCAAATTTAAAAAAAAGTGAAGAAGAATGACCGCATTTCTGAACTCCTTTTCATATTTCAGTGTATACATTTTTAGTTTGCCTTAAAAAACACGAAAAATGTTATATTGACGTAAGAATCACACGCTTAGAAAACTGTAAAAAATTTTAAAAGGCCGAGTTTAAGTTAATTTTATAAGCCGATTTTAAAAGTTAACTGGAATAATTATTTTTACAAATCCATCTTAGTGAACTTACAATTGAATATTTTTAAGTAACAAAATATATATAATGTTCTTAGTCAATTATCTAAAATGTTAATATTTAAATTTTCTGTGAGAATTAACACAAAAATATAATATTTTAAAATGTTGAATATTAAAAATTTTAAAACGATGAAATTACATGTAAAATTAAGTACCTGTTTTTTTTAATTGCAGGAAGGAATATCAGTGAAAAAGTGGACCAAGTTCGGGCTAAACTTATCGAAAAGGATGCTGATTTTATTGTAATACCAACGTTGGATAATATCGCATGTAAGAAGAAAGATCTTTTTAGTTTTTATTTCCAATTTGATACATAGTGCGTCAGTTTTTTGAAATGATTCTAGGAAAAATTTTAATATTAAAATATGCCTGTGATACTTTTATTTTATATGCTGCATTAAAAATTCTTACAGCACTCAAAATAGAAAGGACAGGAACGTGAATTTTTAAATTCAATTCAATAACAAGTTTACATTTTTTTTACATTTTAAACATTTATAAAAAATCCAAACATCAAAAAATTTTCTCGAATAAATTCCAACTAAACAAATTCGAGTGACTAAATTCACTTCTATTCTAGAAAAATTTATTATTTTTTCTTGAAATTTGAATTAGAAATCTAGTGCTTTGCATCTTATTTTACCAGAAATTTATTTTTTGCCAATTCTATAGTAAACAACAAATTATTAGAAAAATATAAAAATAAAGAGATTCCATTAATTCACTTGAAGTATATGAGACGTCTAACAAAATTAAATGGAATAAAGAGTCTAGAATCTATCAAATTCAATAAAGTATAGCACTCGTATAAGAATCTTAAGTATAATTTTTGCAAAGAATTGGAGGATATATTTACCTCGAAATTTTATAAACTTTTTTATTTTAATATCAAGAAAATGTTATAAAAATATGGGCATATTTTTGAGAACAATTCAAAAAAAAAAATTTAAACATTATATATGAGTGCATTTAAAGTGAATTTTTTTTTTTGCATAAAATACTATTAACTATATTATATTTTATACATTAACCAATATTTATATACTTTCAATATAAAATTTTCAAAAATTTTTCGGCTTAATTTAACAAGGACATGAAGGAAAATTGACCGTAAAAAAAGTTATTTAACATATACAGATTTACTTCAGGCAAAAAAAAAAAACAAAGAAAAATAAAATTATGATGAAATATAAATTTAAAAATTTTTTTTTTCGATTCATTAAATGTAAAGGAAGTTAAAATTTTGTTTCTTCTTTTTAAATATGATAAAAATTTTATAAAAAAAATTATATTGTCTCGGACAGTACAAAAAAAATAATCTATAAAATATTGATTTTATTCTTTTGGAAAAATCCGATGTTCCCCGAAAGAATCAATCTTTTTAAAATTTTTATTTAAATTTCTAAAATTCCGTTTATCTTTGGCACCAGAATAGCATTTTAAATTGTCCGTTCTTATAGTTCGATAAATTTTATATAAATAGCTGTGTAATTTTAATTACGAATTTTGAATGACTCTTTCAGAATAAAACTTTATAATTTTGGATAGAAAATTCTTAAATTTCTTTATTATAGCTACTTAGTATTTAAAAATTATGATAAAAATTAGATCTTTGATCGGAAAATGCAATTGTTCTATGAAATTTAATGTTATATGAAGTAATTTTAGGCATATTTATGTAGGTATGTGAGGGAAGTAATCGTTATTTGAGTAATGGCTGATTTTTGCAATAAATATCAGCTCAATTAAAAATCAGGATAAATATAAATATTTAAATGAACTTGAGAAAAATGGATGGATAAAGGATTAACTACCATAAATGATAGCATTTCTAGCTTTGATTAATGTCTAACATAAGATTAATATAACAGCTTTAAGTATCAATAAATAGAAGAATTGTGCATTTTGTTACGTACGGTACTGCAAACTTACTTTACAACCCATTTTTTCTTTTCAAATTTTGAATTTGTTGTGTTTTTTTTTTAAATTCCAAAAAATCAATATTATCCATTCCGTTTGCAAAATATATTTATATAAATATTTACATTGTGATATCAGTGCCCTATAAGGATACACATAAATTTTACAAATATTTTTTTCTTGTGTACATTTATGTAAAAATTGATTATTTTAAATATGATATTATTATTGTAAATATGGCCTTAAGAGTTTTTCGTTTATTATAAAGTATTGTAGTATACTTTAGTTTTTTTTTTTTTACGAAATTTTCTTTATTTATAATATTTTTTATATAAAGTGAAAACAATTTCTTTTATTATTATTAATATTATACATGTATACATTGCATACTTTCAGGGTTATTAAATTTAAGAGGTTCCGACATTCAATATAATCCTGTATTCTTTTCATATATTGTATTGTCAAGGAATGAATTATATTTATTCATTGATGAGGAAAGAATTACGCCTTCCATATATGAACATTTTGATTCTCATGGAATAACTATTGAGTTAAGAAAATATGAAAGTGTATTTGATGAAATTTCTAGGATGGTGAGTATTACATATTTTTATCATATATATATTATTAAAATATGAGAAATTCTGAAATCACATAAGTTTAAATATTTTGAATATTAGCTATATACGTATACGTATAAATGTCTATTTTGAACTAAATCTCATAATTTCAAAAAAAAAAAAATAAATATAATAAAGGAAATATAAATTTTTATGTCTCTTATTACAAGTATTAAATGGTGTACCTATATATAAGTTTGAAAAAATTTTTGAAATTACCTTACATCCTTCCACTTTTTTTTTTTATAAAATTTTAAGGTAAATGAAACAAATGATAAAATTTATGTAGAATCACCAGCTAGTCATGCAATTGTTGAATTAATACCAGAAGGAAGACTTCATATAAGTGATTTAGTAGCAAGTATTAAATGTATTAAAAATGATATAGAAGCTAATGGTATGAATGAAGCTCATATACGAGATGCTTATGCATTAGTTCGTTATATGCATTGGTTAAATGAAACAATTGATAAAGAGAATATAACAGAATTTGTAGGTGCTGAAAAATTAACGAAATTTAGAAGGTACATACTCGTATTATATACTTAAACAAATTAAATTTTTAATATCGTAAATTTTTTTTTTAAATTTTTAATGTATTATTTTTGAAAATAAGTAAAAATTATATACATAAAATTAATTTATTTCTTCAATAGTGAACTAGACAATTATATTGGTTTAAGTTTTTCGGTTATAAGTTCTGTTGGATCAAATGCAGCTATGCCACATTATAGTCCAGAAGAAGATACTGCAAAACAAATAACTCGTAATGAAATTTATTTATTGGATTCAGGTGGTCAATATTGGTAAATATAAATTCATATGTATATGTAAGTGTTTACATGAAATATTTAATATTCTCGTTTATGTAGGTGAGTACCTTATTTACATAATAATTTAAAAAATTTATATATATATATATTGAAAAAAATAAATAAATAAATAAATAAATAAAAACGATATCGTAATTCAATATATATTTCAAGAAGAAAAACATAAAAAATAAAAAATAAAATGTATTTTCTGAATGATACTATCAGGATGCAAAATGATTCATGAAGCATTGAATTTATTTTCATAAAAAAAAATATTTTTTAAATTGAATGAAAAGAATAGAGAAATAACATTAGCCAGACAAAAAAAGTGATTTTAAATATTTATGGATATGTCGAAATGTAACAACGATATTCCGATATTTTTATGTGATTCCTCTTCATTTCTGTTTTTGTCTTCTTTCTTTTATTTTAACAATATTTTTCAAAGTAAAAAGAAAAAAATATTGAAAATTGTTAAATGAAAAATTATTCGAAATGTTTCAATATATTTGATTTTACGTTTCACATCTTACTCAACCATATTTATTTAATTCGAAATATTAAGCATTTAGAATAATTTTTTAGTCTTAATATTTCTTTTTCATTTTATTATAAAATTGTAAATACAAGATGATATTTTCAAAATTTTGTGGTATTCTTTTAGGAAAATCAAAAATTTTTCTTCTTTTTTTCAATTTTGATTCATTTTTTAATTTTGTCTGTTACCGTAGGTTACTTTAAATACTAATTGATAATATAAAATAAAATTCACAATTATATAATAAAATTCAGTTATAATAAAGTTTATAAAGTTGAACTTTCCCTCGAACATGTGAAAATACTACATGTGACTACATTATTGAAATTACTTTTCTTTATATACCAAAATATAAAACATTGGTGCATACATTTTGTGTCAAAAAAATTGAAAGAAGCGTTAAAATAATGGTGTAGTTTGACGGTTAACTATTTTTTGATGGCACAGATTTTGCTATTAGCTATCGACTTTTACGTATTTCGAGAGGCAATAACATGGAAAGGGCTGGTCTTTTTAGTTGCAAAAAAAAATTTCTGCTAACAAAACAAATACTCTTTATTATATAAAGTCTGGGAGGCGGGGGAAGGTCAAATTTTTCTTTTAAAAATTTTGTTTTCTACATTAAAGGGTGTAAAAGTATTCTAAACAGACATACGAACATTTATAACAACATTTTTTAAAATTTTTGTTGAAAAAGTATTAATAAAATTACTATTGAAGAAATTGGAAATTTTATAAAATAGAAGATAGCTATGTGATATACTTTTGCATTTAAACAATCCAATTGCTAACATGGTCAGGCATTTTTAGAAAATCGGTAAAATAAAAAATTATTTTACTTATTTAGTATAATAAGATTTTTTGGAGGCCTTTTATTTTAATAGAATTAATATTTCTATTTTTTAATATTAATTATAATATTGAATTTGTTAATAAAAAATATTAACCCTATTGTTGGCATGTTATATACTCTGACTACATTGTTTTTTATATATATGTATGTATATTTATACATTTATGTTTTTATTGGTATTCTTACTCAATTTGTATATTTATTTTGAAAATTTCTACCGTTATTATTATTTTTTGTATTTCTTTTTTATTTTGTTTATTTTTTAATGGAAAACATTTTTCTCGTTACGGTTTTATAAATTCAAATTGATTTAGATTCAATGTATATTATCTCAATATTTTGTATTTGCATATATAATGTACGTAGGTATGTGAATTTAATATGTAAATGTGTGTAATAATTGATGCTATATATATATATAGATACTTATGTATATTTAATTTCTACATACACACAAAATTTTATATTATTATTTATTGTTTTTATTACGTTGTTTTATTCTAGGTTGATAACGAAATACAAGACCAATACAAAAACAAAAAAATGAAAAAAAAAAAATAGAATAATAAATATTTTTCCAACTTTTCCTCTGGTCGTGATGCCAACGCTTATATATTATGTTGGTGTTTTTCTTCTTTTTTTCTATATTTTTTTTCTACATTATTGTTATCCAATGCCTTGCTGTTTTAAGCGCCTTCTATTATGGTATAAATAACAAACAAATTTCTAATAGACTACTTACATACCTATTACATATTATCTTTCTACCTTTCTATGTATTCATATAAAGGATCTGATCTAATCGAATATATTTTTTTACAACGTTTAGTTACTTATACACACACGTACATATATTGTAACTAAAGTGCATAAAATGTAAATTCATTTTTTTTTTTCGCTTATATTTTGTATTATTTTTATAAAATTGTTTTTCTTTTACTTTGTACTTTTAAAAAATTTAAATAAACTTGATAGCTGTTTGGAAATTGGAACCAACTGAACTATATATAGTTATATTATTTATTAAATTGAACCTGAAGTATAAAACTGAAATGAAAATTTATTTAGGGATGGTACAACGGATGTGACAAGAACCATGCATTTTGGCACACCAACTGATTTTGAAATGGAATGTTTTACGAGAGTTCTTAAAGGATTTATTGCTTTGGCAACATCAGTTTTCCCATCAACAACATCGGTAAGTTGAGAATATATATAAAAATTAAAAAATGTGTATAATCATATGTACGTATATGTGTATGAAGTTATTGTTATAGACGTATACGTACTTAATTCCATTACGTTATATTTTTTTATGCGTATATGCAATTGTATTGTAATAAAATTGTAAGATATTGTGAACTTCTGTGTGGGTAGTTGAAATTATATTGAAAAATCATAAAAGTAAAGTAGGTAAATGTGCATACTGTACACATACTTGTAATCTTTAAATTTTATAAAGATATTACGAAATAATTGGAGTATTTACGAATTATAGAATTCCAAAGTTTGTTAAAAAATTTTTCTAGTAGTAAACAATTGTATTAAACGGTATATGTAAAAAAAAAAAATAAAATATATAAAATTTGTTTAATGAGGTACAAAGCAATATAATTTAAGGCTCTCCTATATTAAGGAGTTCACATTGAATCCTATGGTATACGAGATGAACTAAATAAGTAATAAATAAATAGCTGAACAAAATTGAAAAATACGCTCGGAAAATTAGAGAAATTTTCTATGGTTTCGAAAAGTCAAATGCCTTCCTGGAGATTATTAATAGAAAACTTTCAGAAAGTTATTGCCATTGGCAAGAATTATATAATAATTTTGGTGCATCAACGTCCAGAAATTTTCGTGCATTTCGTTTACCAAAGTGAACTATTATATAATAACAAATTTTGACTTAAATAAAAGTTCAATTTCTTATTAAATTACAATTACATACATACATATATTATCATATATTATTAAGCTCAAATTGTCAGAATCATTTCAACAGCTCGACCTATAATTTTCTTTCCTTCAACGTATTCTATTTTAAATTTTGCTCTTGAATTTCTTTTTTTTTTTAAATTTTATAGTTCGAACATTAAGTAAAACATGTCAATATTCGTACAATCTTAAATGTAATTTTAAGAATGTGCAATCGATTATAGTTTTACCTCCACTCAAAAATCATTAATGTCAATACATCAAATTTCAAAAACTCAAATTCGAATTTAAAAAAATTTTCTACGAAACTGAACTTATTGATCATAATGTACAACAATAGGAATTGAACTCTTTTGGAAAAATCAACATTTTTATATTTTAATAAAAAAAAAAACTGAGAAAATATAAGGACATAAGATTCACATATGACTCGTTAGTGGACTGAATAAAATTTGTGATTTTTTTTTTGTTACTGAGGATAAATGCGTATTTATTTTTATTTTGCATATAGTATTTATGTCAATTTATTTATATGTTTTGTGAATGTATTATATATGCATATACATTTTATACACACCTACACAAATTAAGTAGGACACCAGAGATTCTTATAACCAGGTTAAACACAAACTAAAACTCTTGAAAAAAAAATGAACAAACACTATATTTTTTTATGCGTTTTAATTTACATGCTGGATTTTGCCAAAATATTTTTTAAAGTGTTTTTTTTTTTTACATCAATACATACATACATACATAAAAATAGAGGAAAACCAAAAGATATTTAGCGAGGAAACTCTAACATTTAAAATATTTATGTATATGTAAAAAATTTTTTAGAGAAATGAATATAATACAAATTTGTGTGTATATGATTTAAATTAATGCAAATAAGTTTAATTTCGTTTTGACCTTAAATTTATAATATTATAAATTCTTTTATATGTATGTAGGTATATGGCTAATAAATTTATATTCTTATAAGAAGCCATTTAGTGTGAATGCCTTGATTATGTAGAAATTCCATAATTCAGGATGATCAAAGAATCGTTCCTGAAATTATTTGCCACCTTATGCGAAACACCCGGTATATGTAGTTTATCGTAAATTTACTAAAAATTATTATAATTTAATGATTCTTCATATATTTCATTGACATTCATCTCACATTAAACAAAAAAAAAAAAGAATTATTTTAAATAATAATTAATACAAGCAATTGTTAGTTATACACGTTCTATAATGAAATTTATTTAAATTCTCATCAATCAATATTCCAAAAATTGAAAAGACTTCTGTCCTTTTGTGTTTAAATGTTTATTTTATTGAAATTAATATTATTATTCAGAATGTGATTAATGTAATTTTAGTTTAACGATATTATAGTTGATTAATTTGTAAAAATTCTGTTTGCATTTTAATTTGGATTTACCAAACAGATGAAAAAAAACATACCGGCAAGCGTAATTTTTTATAATATTTAACATGGAAAATTTTTAATTACCTTAAATTTTATATTGTGCTTAAAAAAATATGGTTCAATTTCTAAAGGACACATTATTTTCATAAATTCGTCCATATATATACTTACATATACATATGCTTTCATTATTATATTTTTCAGCATTTTGTATTAAATTTGAATACACTTTTAAAAGTTAAAAGTAATAGCTCTGAAATATTGCCTTTAATTTCCATATAAACAAATTTTCATTAAAATTAGAAAGTCAGAGTCAAAAAATTGTAAAAAAAATATATTTCTTATAAAGGTAGAAAGAATGTTTCTTCTAAAAAAGCCTACTTTATTTTGTAAATTATAATTAGTTTTAAAAAGCCTACTTAATTGAAAATAGTAGCATTTCTTTGAAATTTACTCAAATACAGCTGCATCAGATGCTTACTCAAAACACGGTTTTAAGAAATTGAAATAAAATTAGCATTAATGGTAAATGTAACACATCGTTCTTTGGAGCTGCCGTAGACTAGAACCCTAATAAGAAGAGTATTTTAGTTTTATATTTAGTATTTGTTATTTCTTAACCTTTCATTATGTCAATATCTGAACAATAGAGGGTTATTATGAGAAATAATTATATTAGAAAAGCAATCGAAAGTCTATGAGAAATTTTACATACCTATACATATATAAATATTTATTATATTTTCATATGAAAACAATCTAATACGTGAAAGTTATTCAACATAAAATGAATTTACAAATTATTTATGTATTTTTTTTATATAAGTAAATATGTTTACTTTTATAAAAAAAAGAATGCATTTTATAATTTACCAAGCATACCTCGACAAATACATACATTCGTACACCTATAAATGAAAACATAAACAATGTATTTTTTTTTTAATTTCCAGCTCAATTATTTCGATTATGTTGCTAGAAGACCTCTATGGCAAGCTGGCTTGGATTATGGTCACGGTACTGGTAAGTTATTACAAAATTTTAAACAGATGTTGTTAAACTCTATTCATGCACGAAAAAGACAATTCTTTCTTATGTACATATACGCGCTATACATATTTTCAGTTTTACACATGTGCATGTACATATTATATAAATACAGGTATCCGGTGATACTTGGCAATAATATTCAGAGCATGATAATTCTTATATTTCAAATTATATTTTTATTTTATTTTTATATAAGAAAAAATTTAAAGTCATATTACATATCATAATGCACAATTCATACATGTATGAATTTTGATATCCGTATATTCGAAATTCAACAAAATTAACTTTATTTTTTCATTTCCATGCAACTTGTACAATGAAAAAACAAAAAATAAACAAAAAAAAAAAAGGACATGGAGTTGGAGCATTTCTTTATGTGCATGAATATCCGCCATCCATCCATAAATATAGCAATTCACTGGCAGAAGTGAATATGTTCACATCTAATGGTGAGTAAAAAAGTTTGTATTAAAAAAAAATATCGGTTTATTGGACTTACATAGAATATTTGTTATATTTTTTTTTTAATTTATTGAATTTTAAAATTTAAATGAAGTATAAATTTATAGCTGATTGTTTTTTTAAAAGTAATTTTATAAAATGTGATGGTTTTATTTGATTCAAATTTGCCTAGATCTATTTTGTGTTCAACATCTAATTATTTCGATTGCGTTAGTGCTATATGAAAATTAAGAAAATTAATATTGAAAGGATGATTTTTAAGGAAAAATTATAAATGAAAATGTGAAATGTGTTTTTCTTCTCTAATACGTAAATTAGGAAATTGCGTTGATCTTAACTCTCCAATTCTTTTTTGTATGCTTTATAAATATTTTACAAATTTAATTCTATTAATAAGAAACATAACAATGAAGTACAGTATTTTCCACAGCAATTTGATTAAAAATTATCTTAAAAAAAAAAAAAAAATTATAACTTAAGCACAATTGTTTAATTAAAATTACATAATTTCAACGTGTTACGAGTAATTAAAATAAAATATTAAGACGAAATTTATGAATAGATTTACAAATTTTTACAACTTTCGACGGTTTACAATTTTGTGTCAAAATTTTTTTAAGTACTTTTTTAAAAATAGAAAAAATTGATAGATAGCTATCACAAGAAAAATTTATTATTCTTTTTCACTTTGAACACTAACTTTTCTCTTTTCGAAATTCATGAATAAGAAATATTCGAAGAAATTTAGTGATTTTATTTGCTTCAATTTTAAACTTATTCAATTATTATAGCCAAAGTCACATTTTAAGATTTTTAAAAATGAAAAAAATTAACCTTCATACTAAGTCAATAGTATATGTACCTTCGTTTGCATATATCAAATAATATGATTGTAGAAAAAACTTATCGCATTTTATACATACATCCATATATATATTTATATATATCAACAAAAAATAGAATATTTTATTTAAACTCAAAAAATTCAAAAAGTTTAAAAAGTATACAAAATTTATATTTGCAAATGACATTTTGATATTAGATTTTATGAAGTTTAAAGTATGACAGATTTCATTGCAACTCATTTTAATATATGACTTAAACTGACAACAATGAACTTCTAGAAATTAGTCTTGTATATTCTTACAAAGGTAATAAAAATAAATATCCTGTCAAAATGCCTAGAATCATAGAATTAAACAATGAATAAAGTCATTGTATTGTTAACAAGAATAAGATGCTTTTTGATTTTCAAAATTTCTTTTTATATTTTAAAAGCATACGAATATAGTCTGGACAGAAATCAGCTTTATATTATAAAATATTATCGTTTTAGTTCTTTAAGAAAATTACGGTTATATAAATTTATATATATTATGTATATATATGTATGTATGTACAATAATCACATTGTTTGTTGCACTCCTTATTATTTTTTTTATTATAAAATAAAACCTTTATTATTTTATTTTTACACAAATTGTAGAAAGAAAGAATATAAAAATAAATTTTCATTTCTTTTTCTATTTTTACTATAATGTTGTATTATGTTTATACATATGTATATTATGTATGTACATATTGTGCACTTACTATTTGGGAAATTGTATAAAACAACAACAAAAAGAACCTGGACTTTATCTAGATGGCCAATTTGGAATAAGAATTGAAGATGTTATTCAAGTTGTTAAATCCGATATGGATAATGCTTTCTCTGGTAAAGGTGCTTTAACATTTAAGTCAATTACTTATGCACCACTTCAGACAAAAATGATTAAAACATCCTTATTGAATAAGGAGGAGGTAAGATACATACATATATTTAAATAAATTTTTTAAAATAAAAAAAAAAACAAGTGTATTTTATATATAATCAGGGCTAAAATTTTTAGGTTTTATGAAAAATATTTAAAAGAAAAGATTTCAATTCAAAATTTTTGTAACTTTTAAATTTATTTTTGACATTTCTAATTATTTCTTATAAATATAGTGTTGGTACATATTGTCAATACTAGTCTATTATCAACACTAGTCTTGTACCAACAATGGTCTAATTGATAAGAAGTAAAAATTTAAAAATATTTCAAAGTTTTAATGTTACAAGCTCAGAAATACTTAATGTATTTTATATATTAAATGGTTTGTAAATCTCATCCATCTTACACATGAATTTAATTCAGCTTAATGATTGCTTTATTTCTGAATTAAATATTGAATATTGTTTCATTGTAAAATGGAACTTGAGGGTACTTTGGTTGAAAATTTGCAAAATAAACGGTGCCAGTTATACATCATTCTTAGGTATGCCGTTACATATTACACTTAACTTACCAGGATAAAATCTGATGAGCATTTATACATCAGATTCCATTTATACGCTTATGTCAAATTTTTGATAGTAATATTTAAAATAAATTGATAAATTTTGCAGATTGTCGGCAAGTTTAGTTGATGTTTTTTTTTTTGAAAATTAGCAAAAAATCTGATGGTAATCGGTAATTTGCTACTTTTTTCGTTAGCTTTAATTTGATGTACTGCTACGATTACATATTAGATCTTCATCAAATTCAGATTTAATTTAAAATTTAATCTGATGTGTATAAAATGCATTTAAAACTTTGACCACCCCTTTGTATTTTACCGCATAAGAGGTTTCATTCTTCTTTATTCATTAATATATTAAAGATGCATAGAAAATAAAAAAAAAGGAAAGTAATTCAACAAAGTAAAATTATTATTATGCAGGTTTTTTCATATACATATATACATTTACATGTACTTATATATATGTATACTTATATGATATACCTTTATTGTGATTTACACAGTTAAGCATCATTGAATTAAAAAAAATTCTTTATACCTGATTACAAATATACTTGAGGTGAAATTTTACTTTAATTTTATATTTCTTTATAGGCAAAATTTGTAAATGACTTCAATCGTAGAGTCATTGATACTATTGGACCTATGTTACTTAAAGCAAATTTAACTGCAACTTATAAATGGTTATTGCAAGATACAATTCCAATTATTGCCACCGGATAAAAGGACTAAAAAGAAAATAAAGAAAAATTTATTAATTTTATTATGTCTTGTGTATTAATTTGTATTTGTTAGCAAAGAAAATATTGAAAAGAAATTAAAGATGTTTTTGACATGTTTTTGATATGTAATTAATTTAATTTTCTTCAGCTAGATCAATGCGATATAATGAGTCTTGCCCAAATGTTAAAATTGTTATATTATTATTTTTCGGATAATTTTGAAAATTTGAATTAAAAATTTGTTTAGATTAAAATTGCAAGGCTTTGATGCGTTAAAGTGTTTGATAAATTAGTCATCTTACCGTTATATATGTATGTCCATCAATTGAGTAAGAAATTTCACACTAATTACAGACCACGCAAAATAAATTAGTGGAAATTTTAAGCAAATAATTTAGATGTGAATTTAAATTTATAATACTTATAGCTAGTTATATTAAAAAAGGTTACTATTTTTTCTATTGTTATACTTTAATTACAATAAATAAATAAACAAAAATTGAGTTAGAAATAAAATTGGTGACACTTTCTTTTTCCCATATGCTTTGTGGAGAAAATTTGAATTTATTTTGAAAATTAAATTTAAAAAATAAATATTAGGAAAATGGGTATGATTTGTTTTCGTTCTTTTATTGTGGTATAGAGACGCATACATATAGATATATTTAAATGCAGAATTGAATTAAAAAAAAAATTAACTTTTCTAATTATACAAGTGTACCTATGTTTATTATAAATATTAATTGAAAAAATATCAAATAAGCACTTATTTCTAGAACAATATCTTTAAAACGTTTATGAAATAAAATTTCTTTAAACAGAATTCCACTATATTACATTACTAAACACATGATCTTTTAAAATATGCTTTGTGTTAGATTTGGAGAGCATATAACCGTAATTAAATAAATTTAATAGTAATATGACTAGACATTATCATTTATGAAAAAAATATTTGATTTTAATTAAAATTTTATCGTTGGTTTCATTTAAGTTTAACTAATTATAATTTGGTAAAAAGTCCTAATTGTACGAAAATTGAATTTTTGTTTTTCTTTGTATCTTTATTTTATATATTGTATTGTATATGTACGTATACTTAAAAATCAACAAAGATTTCTAAAAAAATTGAAACGCTTTGTGAAATTCTAAATAAACAAATAATTTCGGTAAACAATACAATTGTATACATACTTATGTACACAAATGTAAATAATCTTATATATTTTATATATAAAATAATTAATGCGTATCCTTTTTCTTAAAGAATCATTTATACTATTAAAACTTTTAATAGTTGTATATATATTTATATATGTGACATATACAGTACGCAAATATTTATATTTAAAAGAAAGTAAAATTAAAAAACATATTTTGTTTTCTTTTATAAAAATGTATGAAGGTATACGAGATATACATATATGAATATAAACACATATACGTAAATTGGTGCGAATGTAAATTGTTTCAGTTAAGTGGAAAAAAAAAGAGAGAAAACCAAAATATGAAAATTGTACGGGTATTTAAAAACAACCGCCGTAATATTTAAATATCTAAAGCGGTTAAATTAAAATATTTTCCTTTTTTTTTCTAAATTTCCTTTAAATTGTTAACGTACAAATTATATTCTTATACACAATATAATATACGAATAGAATTTACATATGAATCTAAAGCATAATGGTCGCTTTAAATGTGTATAGACATTGTATGTACAAATATTTTAATTAAATTACCAAAAAACAATACCTTCCAGACAAACAAAATTCTGTAGGTTGTAATAAAAGCTAGAGAAGTAAAAAAAAATCATGAGTGTTTGTATGCATGTGGTACGTGTTGTATGTCAAAATATATTTATGTAGATTTCATAGACATAATGTGGAAGAAATATATACTATTGTATTACACTATTTGTAAATTCACCTGTACATACTTTCTAATATATTTATGTTTTAACTATATTTTATAATTAAAATATCGTATTCTTTATCTCTAATAACACAAAAGTTGTAGTTAAACTCAAAAACTTTATACATATATTTAAAAAGAAAGTATAAGAAAAGATTTTAACGCTAATTTTTAGAAATTTAAAAAACAAATTATTCGAAATCGACCTTTGCACACAGCAATAACTTGGATAGGCATGGAACCTTGTTTAATTTGTATGTGCTTATATTTTAAAAACAAGAAATTATAATATACGAGTATTTTAAGAATCAAAGATTTGGGACCTATACGCTTAATATAAGTATAACTTCCAAAGTATTAAGTAATATGATTACTGTATTGTAGTTTAAAAAAATCATACATAAAATGTAGTTTAAATCCATTCATAGAAATTATTGAATTTGAAATTTCTGCATGTTGGCCTTACAATATTTCATCTCGTATTATTAGAAATTTGTCGTACTTTGACATATATGGGTTATATATGTATAATATTGGAATGATATGAATTGAACTTGGCTATACGAGGAGTCTAAAATGCAGCAATGGATATTTTCAATAATTTTGAAAAAATGTTAATTAAGACTTACAACATATCTTCTTTCATAAAACATTTAAAAGTTTTATCATATAAAATATTTATATAACATATAGCATTTAATATATAAACATTATATGTATGTAATGTTCATATGTACATAATGTTTATTGTGCGTATCATTTACAAAAGAAAAAAAAATCTTTTATAAAACTTAAACAATAATGTCATCAAAAATTACTTTGTTTCTTTCTTGTTTTCAAACTCATCAACTAATATGTGTATTATAAATAAATAATATACATAATACACATAAATATATATGTATGTATACATGATTGAAATAAATAAATATATATACAAGGTACTTACATACACGCATTTTTATATATAGGTTAATTCAAGAGATTACTTAAAACATCATATTTTAAAGTATAACCATATGTGTATATCTTATATTTATTTACAATTCTAAATATGTGTATATAATATAAGGGAACATAAATATACTAGTATATTTTACAACCAAAAATAAATATAGGTAACATAAGGTAACCAAGTTTAATATACTATGTAAATATTACAATATAATCTTAAATAATATGAATTTCAATCAAATTTTCTTAAAAGCATATTACAACATACATTATTATTATACATGTACATATATATAAATATATAAATATATGTATAAATGTATGTATGTCAATCATATGTACTAAACTCTTATAACAAAATACTTGCGTAATATAAAGATTTTCCTTCTCTTTTATGTATAACATTACAATATAATATTTTTATTTTACATTAAAAGAAAAATAAGGATTAAATGAATAACAAAAAGTAAAAAGAAATAAGTGAAAAAAAAGGAAAAAAATAATGAACAGAAAAATCAAAGTAAATGCAAAGAATTGTGTTTGATGAACATTTTATACGAACGAAACAAAAAAAGTGGATTCCATAGTCCTGACTCCTGTTTCTCTTTTTTTTTGCATTTTATGCGGGATATGTTGTAAGTATGTATACATAGGTATCACAAAAAATATTAAGAATAAGCGCAACACATATATAAAAATAAAATATCATAAAAATAGCATCATATGTTAATGTTATTATGTCATTAATTTTACACCGTCATATGAAAATTTTATACCGCACTCATTATACTATACACACAATTATTATATGGAGTATGTATGAATCTATATGTATGTTTATGTATCATACATACTTACTCCAATAATTCATTTACTTACAATATTACCTATATTTGCCAATGTTACTATATACATTGTAATTAATATATATATTATTATTATATTATATATGTACATATATTACATATATATATATATGATTGTATATTGTAATACTCGTATAAATAAATTATTTTTGTTTTTATGTAAAACTATTGTTATATTGTTATTCTTTGTTGTGATTTTATCATATATCGTTATTTTGTAAACTGTTATATTGTTATCAAAGATGAGTCTTTATAGATATATATATAATTATTTGTGGATAATATATAAAATAAATAAAAAATACTATATATAAAATGGATAGAAACTGGAAATACTGTTATAAAAGGATTATTATATAAATTATTTGTGTATATATGATGGAGTTAGAAACAGTTAGAACGTTTAGAATTTAATCATGCAGTTATGCTATTTTGTATATCCATAACATTATAACATTAAAATATGTAAATAAGTGTGTATATATTTGTAACTATTTTTTGATTATAATTTTTCACTATTTTACTATAAAATATAAATATTTATACGTGTATGTTATTCATAGCAAGTAAAAGCAAAAAAAAAATGTTTTTTTTTTTTATAAAAAATAGAAAAAAAAGAGAAAAAATTTATTTTATTCATTTTGTTTTTGATTTTTTGTTTTTTATTATTTCCCTAAACGCCAATTTTCTTTGATGCAAAGTAAACATAAAACCAATTACACACTTTACTATTTACATACTATTCTTGTATGATATCGAATAATGGAGAAGAAAAATAAAAATAAAAAACTGAAAAATATTTATGAAAAAAAAAATATTCGATTTTCAGATATACATATGGGTAAAGTGTTGCCTACAACTTTGAGGTACATAAATTGTAAAAGTCTTGTTAATATTGTAAATTTTTTTTTATTACATTGTTGACCAATTTCTGGTGCAAGAAGAAAGGGTAAGGCTACATATAATAAAGTGTTTTTCATTTGCTCCGCAGTCTGCAAATAAATCGGGAATTATGGTCCTGTAGTATGACCTGTTAGATACGTATATCTTTTTCAGTTTCTTAAATACACTGAAGCGGTAAATACTAAACGTCTTTCATTCGGTAATGAAATTAAAATAAGCCTTTATTTGATTTGTTATTTTTTGCTTAACACTATTTTTGAATTTTAATTATTAACATCCTATAAATTAATGTAAACCTTTTTATTAAACTAATATTGGATATTGCTTTTTATATGTTAGTGAGAGTTTTAACAATATAATGTTAACCCTCAGAATATTCATAATTTATATGTAAATCGGTGTGTATTATTAATTGAAATACTATTTTCATGATAAGAATTTTTTACCAATTCTCATTGAGTTCGTAACTGAGGAACGTAAGTGTAACAT